TTCTTGCTTTTATTCGAGGCTCAGACAAAAACACTTGGAAATCGACAAATTATTAAAGTTTTAATATAAATGTACTCCCTTACACATTACTTTATCGGCTACAATTTGAAGTCTAATATACTGGCGGGTGGTTTTATACAGGGTGTCACAAAACTAGCAATAAACTTGCAGAGTGATGCTTCGACAATGAAATCCCTTTACATTACTCATTGACCTACCGCTATTATAAGTACCACTTATTTTTGTATTAAAAAAAAAAAAACAGAAAAACTGTTTCAATATTTTAGGCGAGGCAATATGTTAGCGTGGTATGGACATGTGATGCGTAGAGAGAAGATGCATGCGACTAGGAGATGTATGGAAATGGTAGTGCAAGGTAGAGGGGGAAGGGGTCGAACGAAGAAGACATGGGTGGAGTGTGTGAATGACGATATGAGAGAGAGAGAAAAGTGAGTGTTGAGCTGACAGCTGATAAAAGAGAATGGAAGAGAAAGATTAGCTGTGCCGACCCCACCCCGTGGGATAAGGTGAAGAAAAAGAAGATTTCAATATTTTAGGCAAGCCTATTGTGACAAGAGATTTAAATTATTACACTTAACAAACGATGAATTTAAACCACACAGCTGCAACAGATTGAGAACCACTAAAATAAAGGACAGTCGTCACAATTGCATCCGCCATGTTGCTAGCTGGTCTTGAGTTTTAGAACACCCCCTATAACAATATTGTGAACATAACTTATATTTTATATAGGGTGTAGCGATATAGGTTATGTCCACAATCGCTCGCAGTGATACGCCCTGTCCCACCTAATGAAATGGGTGCTCTAACTAACACTAAGAGTATGTTTCTACAATCCATCATTAAAAAAATTTATCGTAACATACACCGTATAGCCAATCTGGTAACTATGATTCCTTTGATATTGACAATTCTAGTTCGAATATTTTTACTTGTGCAAAAACACTAGTTTTATTGTAGCTTAGTTCGTACGATCAGAGCTTATTAGTAGTTAAGAGTAAGATGTTCAGAACCTACATATACATAGGTTTAAGAAAACTATTAAAGAACATCTGTGCAATAAAGCTTACTATAAAGTCAATGATTATCTAGAAGAGTGCACATAGCGGGAATGAGTTGCTCGCTCCGGGCATTTCAATATTGTAATAATTGTTATGTTATTATACTCATGTAAAAATGAATATTTAAAAAAATCTAATATTAAAAAAATAATCTAAAATTAAAAAAAATATATATCATGCCCGCTGAGTTGCTAGCCAATTCTTCTCAGGACGGAGGCTAGTTCTTGTGAATTGGCGGTAGATCTTTTGACGTTCAACAAGTATGTGCTTTCATATATGTTGAATAATTTCTTTTTGATTTGATTTGATTAAATTCTTCAACATCTTCGAAGAAAAATATCAAGAGCAATTTCTTGTGCACGATCTCAATTTTATTAATATTATGTTTATGACTAGATAAAGGCTTTCAAAATTAAATAATGTTATGATGCATTAAAGTGTTGATTCACTATGCCCAATAAAATTTGATATGAGAGATTGGCTGTGTACTTTTCCCACAAGGCGAAGAAGTAGTAACAATGGATTTATCATACTTTTAAACAGTGACGCAATTGTACAAAAGCACACTTTGCTATCAGTTTGAAGTTCAATTTATTCATGGAATTATAATGTGTATAATACATAAATAACACGTATATTATTGAATATGTAACATTATTTAGGAGAGCTAATGTTTGCAAGTGTGTCTCTAGACATTATTGCGCTATTGCAGCTTCCTTCCGATACGTTGCCTGCAAGCTCTGAAGCAATATTCCTTCATATATCGGGCATTGAAAGTACTACTTATAAATAAAAAATAAAAAAAACTTTTATAGATAAAATGAATTGTATTATTTATTTTCATGTTCGTTAACAAAAATTAAAAAAAAAAAGAGAAACACCAGTTAACTTGCGTATTCGGAAGAGAAATTCGGATACCTAAATCGCGCTAACGACATTTACAAGTGGAGCTAACATACGACAATAGCTCAGAGAGACCTACAACACCGCCACAATTGTACTAGTCATTGACAACTGTCAATATCAAAGGACATCAGTTGCCCACATCAGACTGCAACTAACTAACCTACACAACTATCATATTTACATACACATTTACGTTTTACATCTTAAATAAAATCGAAAAAATACGTAAAAATTACATGTCACTATTATTAATTAAATTATACAGGGTGTCCCAGAAAGAATGGATAATCCTGTAACACCTCATAGTAGAGATATCAGGGAATCAAAAAAAATTAAAAAAAAAATATTTCTTAGTTAGTACCCAAATTAAAAATAAAGAAAAAATACCAAATTTCATGATTAAAATTTAAGTTCAGATTAACTTTTATAAAAAATTACACTAGCTACTCATACGATTTCCTGCACATTCTTTAGTATAGTCCAATTATAGAATAGTATAACACCAAAAAGCCTATGGATTTCATTTATTTGTAGCTGTTGTATATTCCAGAAACGCACAGCAGTATGGAAAATATCAAGCTTTTTTTTAAAATACGTAATTGAGATTGTTTTTGTCCCCAATAGCTCTACTATGAGGTGTTTCAGGATTACCCATATCTTTCTGAGACACCCTGTATATACGTCACGAAACAAACTAACCGAAATAATAATGATAATAATATTAGACTAAGTTTACATTTTTGTACACTAATTAGTCGTGCGCATAGTTTAAACAGATATGTGAGATGGTTTCAGGAGACTTTCTGAATGTAGCTCAGGTCAGTCGGTGACCGATTGCCGATTCTTGAATAGACTAATCGTATTTTCTTTGGTTTTCGAGAGAGATAGACATAATTAAAACTAATCTAACCGGAGGGGATTTTTTATTGCTTAGACGGGTGGACGAGTTCACGGCCCACCTGGTGTTAAGCGGTTACCGGAGCCCTTAGACATCGATAACGTAAATGCCGACACCCATCTTGAGACGTGAGTTAGGTCTCATTTTTTTTAACAGTACAACGGCTGCCCCGTCCTTCAAACCGAAACGCATTACTGCTTCACGGCACAAATAGGCAGGGTGGTGATAGCTACCCTTGCGGACTCACAAGACGTCCTACCACCAGTAAGCCGGTGGTGCTAAGGAAATGATGATGTTTCCAACAGCTCGGGCGCGTCCCCCGAGACTGCGGCTCTCACGAGACTGTCGCGTCAAATAATCCACGTCCACAGTATTGTGGAAACGTCTTCACAGCCCGACCCGTACATGTCCAAGTAACGGAATCTTTAGAAAATCACTATCATCGACCTCATAACGTCAGATTAACTTAACAATTCGCACACGCGTCAAGGACCGATGCCTATATAATAATTTTATTGTTTTGGCACCTAGAACCCGCCCAGGGACCGGAGGATGCGTCACCGGTTCTGCGGTCCGATAACGGAAGACAGACCACGCGTACCACGGGATCCCGGCTTGATACCCTAATGTAATCAACATTGTGTTCAGTATATGTATCATATACCGCACGAAGGAACATCTAGTAACTTGTTTACATCTGTTACATTTTACGTTCGTTTTTTTCTTTAGCTTTCAGGACTTGTCAGGGTGGGGGGGGGGATCACCTCCGCCCCCGCCCTGTCCCCCACATTACGTGAGCAGCAACGTCTAGGGCATAGGGCGTGCCTCACGAGTACAAATCCAAAAAAACTGCCCGCCCCCTCTCAGCGATTAGTTCCATGATCGGCCCCCCATATGTGTTTAAACTACGTACAAACATTACACAAATGAGAATTTTTATAGTCGAATTTCAAGGTCGACGTAACGCTACAACCAAAACTGCACCTTAAAATCGATTACGAAGGATCAAAATACAATACACAAAACTAAAAATACAATAATATATTTATTTGCATTAAAACTATTTACATCAGCGGGTGAGTGCGACGCCGTGACGTCGCGCGAGCGCACGGCTCATTCGACAGTAAACTAAACTAGGCAAAGTTAAAACAAACAAACAGCCGGTCACGCCTATAACTAACTGCGGTCGTGTTACGATTCTATCCCGACACACTTCTGGTCAAATGGACCGTCGATTAGCCGGAACGTTTATCACAAATTTTGAACTCCTACCTAAACTATTCGACCCCGACAGAAACCCGGTGTTGGGAGCGGTCCCCACGCGGCCCCCCACTCGTGGGGGCACCCACACACTTTGGAGGACACCGTGCTTTGTGGAAACAAACGGGGGACTTGCGGGTATGGCCCCGAACGCCCACAGCCAGGTCTGTCATCAATCAACAACACCACAACGACATTTGTAACAACAGAAGAGACGAATGACGAAAATCCAGTTATTTCAAAACCATTTTCGAGGGTACGTGTTTTTATAAAATAAAATTGGATTTACATTGAAGAGACTAGATAATCATAAAAACTAAAATCTACCGGCAATGTACTCAATAAACTTCATTAAAACCGTATCGAATTGATAAGGAATATTATTACATACAAATATTACACAGTAAACAAAACAGTCACTTACTTAGATACACATAAATTATATATTTATTTATCTTATTGAACATAAAGGATACGCTCCCACCAACGAAGACAAACAGCACTGTTGTCAAAACCCACACAACGATACGCGAAAATATTGCAAACGAAATATTTAAGATTGACTATTTTTAATGGGGTTATGTAAATGTTTTGGGAACAGCTGACGCGCGGGGTCGATGACCTCGTGCGAGCGGTCAAGTAAAAATTCATTGCGGTTCGCTCAGCATGACGTCATACAAATGTATCAATGCTTAGCTTCAATGCATTAGCGCAACAACAAATTTACTGGTTGTAGGACCTCTTGTGAGTCCGCGCGGGTAGGTAGCACCACCCTGCCTATTTCTGCCGGGAAGCAGTAATGCGTTTAGGTTTGAAGGGCGGGGCAGCCGTTGTAATTATACTGAGACCTTAGAACTGATATCTCAAAATGGGTGGCGCATTTACGTTGTAGATGTCTATGGGCTACAGTACCCCATAGTAAAACTGCCGTTCGTCTTCGGGAGCGATACCCTCGTGTCCGCGACGTCTGTGCACGTTCCTACGGCGGTGGTGATCGCGTTACAAATTAAAAATATAAATAAAAATCTTTGTACATTTCCGAGTACAGATCGAACCGACAAACGGAGCCTATCTACGAACTGCGCAACGTATACTTAACAATACATTTAGGAAACTTCATCTGCGCGTCGTCCCGCTCTCCCTCGTGAACTCCCTCAGGCGTGGGAACGAGACGGATAGAGACGCGGTAGGCCGGGGGCTCAGTGTAGCTCCGTCTGCTCGAAGGTCTGCTCCGTGACGGAGACGGCGTCCGCGGCGAGGGACTCCTTCAGCGGCTCCACGCAGTTTTTGGGGATCAGCGTGCCTGGAAAGGGTCCGTCGGGTTACAAATGCATAAATACAACCAATAAACAAATATCTGAACGTTTCAATGCTGCCCATTCCCCAGTTTTGTTTTTATTTAGAAACTGAGTATTGAAGTGGGATTGATTAGCAGTGTCCCGCGGTTTTAGTCGCGTTAATATGTCGTTCAGAGAGAATGAGGCATTGCATATCCCGGTAGTCACTCTGTGGTCCACATGCGGTGGTGCACATGGTATGCGCTCAAAATGAGCTATTATTGCTAATGGTGGTTGTACCTACCCGTGCGGACTCACAAGACGTCCTACCACCAGTATAGATCCCTGGGAGGGGCAGACGTACCCTAACAGAGTTGAGTAACAGTTTTCCATATAATTTGAATTAAGAATCAATTTTCAAGTTCTGAACTAAGCCGGCGGGGAGGTGTGCGTACCGACAATCTTGAGTCCGTCGTCGGTCTTGATGCGCACGACCTGCATCTTGTGCAGCTGCGAGCGCGCGGCCAGCGTGGCCTCCACGCGCGCCCACACGGCCAGCACGGAGCCGGCCAGCACGTGGTGCAGGCGGCGCCGCAGCCCCACCTCGCAGTCGGCGGCGCGGCACGCGTCCCGCCAGTACGCGTGCGAGCACACCCGCAGCGACGCCGCGTGCTGCGCGCGCCACCAGCTCTCCGCCTCGTCCGCATCCACCTTGCGGTACTTCTTCTCGATCTCCGCCAGCGACTCCAGCCGCAGCTGCAGACCAGTGTTCGGCCTGCGAAAGTATTGTTACGTAAGAATAACGCAATCTATTGCCGAATAGTCGAAGGATCTCGTAGCACCTAGAACGCTCGAGAAGTACAACGCCATCTTTGTCAGATAGCGGAAACACAATACTAGATATGTGTGGAATATTCTCGATAATTCTAGGAAGGTGGTATCGGCTATAAAAGCGATGTAGGGATGGCACGAATTCAGTCAGTAATCGGAACTACTCGAAGCGAAACAGCGAACGGATCACCTGCAGCGAATTGAGAGTTTTAAAGTATTTGTTGAGTGTTTTAAGTGTTCTAAGTGTTGAATACAGTTTTTAGTTTATACTTCGGTGTAATTTTATTTATCCCAAACCTCAGCGCGTAACAATATACTAGTGTCTTGAATTGACGACAGGCAACAAAAGCTAAGGGCACTGTAGTATTATATTTTTTTAATTTCTTGTTCATCATACGATCTCACAGCTGAAGACAGCCCGGAGACTATGGCGCACCTGTATATCTGAAACATGAGGTCCTTCTTGCTGAGCTTGTCCTTCTTGGAGTTGGTGAGCGCGGCGGCGCAGAGCACGGCGGTGTGCTTGCTGTTGCGGGCCTGCTGCGACAGGTAGAAGCCCTCCTTGGGGCCCGTCAGCTCCGAGTGCTTCTCCAGAGCCTCAGTCCATTCCATGCCGCGCTGAGGAGTAAATAAGACTTTCGTTAAATGTATGTTTATTTTCAACTAAAACTTTAATTTATTAAGCTATTTTCTGTCCGAATTGAGAGGTTTTCTGTGTAGGGTGACGTCATCGTACAACACAGTGCTCAGTTTGAAATTAACGCTTGCGACAATTTTATTTCTGTAGATTTTGATTTATATGAGCTTAGTTCTTATATGAGTACTGTTCGGACATAATCGGGTAGTTACCACTACCCTGCCTATTTCTGCCGTGAAGCAGTAATGCGTTTCGATTTGAAGGATGTGGCAGCCGTTGTAACTATACTTGAGAACTTATATCTCAAGGTGGGTGACGCATTTACGGTGGGCTGTGAGCTCGCCCACCCAACTAATAAAAAAACAAAAAAAGGCACCTCGGAGGAGACGGTGTGCAGCTCGACAGGCGCGCGTCCGGTGGCGTGGCGGCGCAGGAAGCGCACGCAGCGCAGGCGCCGCACGGTCTCGCCCGCGCTGCCCAGGTCCAGGATGCCCAGGTCGAACCGACCGCTCCTCTTCGCTGAGGAACAACGACACGTACACCACGTTTTAAGAATATACTTGAGGATACATTTTGTTACGCCAGTAAGAGTACCGCCATCTATCGCCGAATAGTCGAACGAATATCGAAGAATCCAGAATGCTCGAGAATTACAACGCCATCTATTGTCAGATAGCGGGCACTACGACTAGAGATGTGTGGAATATTCTCGATAATTCTGAAGATGAGGTATCATCGACTATAAAAGCATTGTAAGGATGGCACGCAGACTGACAGTTAGTAATCGGATCTACTCGAAGCGAAACAGCGAACAGATCATCTGAAGCGAAGCGGAACAAGCGAATTGAGAGTTTTAAAGTGTCTGTTGAGTGTTTTAAGTGTCGAATACAGTTTTAAGTTGTACTTTGGTGAAAATTTATTTATCCCGAACCCCAGCGCGTAACAATATGAAGTCCTTCACGGACAGACGGTGTGGTGGTGAAGTTACTTTAGGGCCCATTTTGTACACTTTACATTACGGGCTCGCTATTTTTTTGTTATTCCATACTTTGGTTAGCAAATAAATGTTATTTTTATTGCTATTTCAGCTTCATGACTCCATAATACTTAAGTCATCTTGGTGAATATGAGAAGCCAGCGACTAGTTGACCCAAGTTACCTTGTTCCATAACGGCGGCGAGCGTGTCCGTGAAGTATTTGAAGAGTCTGTTCTGCAGTTCCACCGGCATGCCCAATATCCTGTTCAAGAACTTCGACATGTTGTTATAGTCCTGTTAGAGAATCACTTATTTTAAATTTGTTTTTTGTTTCTAACATAACTATTAAGATGTTCAATTAAAAACATCGAATTGTTAATACTATTTTTATTTTTAATAATTTGTTATGTGTGTAATAAATATGTGAATTGTTAATAATTTTTATTTATTGCTTAGGTGGGTGGACGAGCTCACAGCCCACCTGGTGTTGAGTGGTTACTGGAGCCCATAGACATCTACAACGTAAATGCGCCACCCACCACTGTTCAACAAATTCTTCATTTCAATAAAATGTAGTCCTTGAACGCCAGCAACAGTAGACCAGGGACATCACCTTGTCGAGCGCGAGCACGCCCGGCGCGGCGTCGCTGTTGACGATGAGCCCCACGCCGACGAGCGCGCTGGCCACGTCCTGGAAGAAGTCTCCGTGGTAGTCGGCGGGCGCGGGCACCAGCGGCGTCTCGTACTTCATGATGGCTCGCATCACCGCCTCCAGCGCCGTGCGACCTGCGGACCACCACCTCATAATGTAACTATACTTGAGACCTTAGAACTTATATCTCAAGGTGGGTGGCGCATTTACATTGTAGATGTCTATGGACTCCAGTGACCACTTAACACCGGGTGGGCTGTGAGCTCGTCCACCCATCTAAGCAATAAAAAAAAATACGGTTCCCGTGCACCCCTCCTGGACTCCGACCCAGGACATAATGCAATGATTTGATGGAAAAGTTTTAGTACTACAATAAAATATGTATTTAACCTAAGCTTAATATACAAATAAATAAAATTGGAGTGTCTGTTTGTAACAATAAAATAACCGCTTTTTACTAAATGCGTAAGTATGTTTACTAAACTACATTTACCAAATATTTTTGTCTGTCTGCTGTTGGTTCTGGTTAACCTCTGGAACGGCTTGACCTATTTTGAAAGGACTTTCACAGCTGATGATATAAAGAGTAACTTAGGCTACTTTTTTTAGACTAGCATTGCCTCACAGTAACATTGCGGGACTCAGCTATCAATAATAAAATTAAAAATTTCCAAAGCGAAGCGAGGGCCGGTCGCTAGTGTGGAATATAATTAAATATTACACATATTGTGTTGAAGCAGTAAATTCTTAAAAAAAAAAGCTTTCTAAAAGCGTAACCCCTAACGGTCCCCCTCGAAGAGTCCGTGGTACAGAAGAGAGGACTGACCATACTTGTTGTCGATGTTGAACTGCGACAGGTCCCTGGTCTCGGTGGCCCTGCGGTCCCCGTGCGTGAGGGCGCCGAGCGACTCCAGGCGCTTGGCGACGGTGCACGCGAACCGCCTCTCCCCGGCCAGGTCCGAGATCAGGAATATGTACTCCGGGGCGTTCACCTGGTTGGAGCGGTGGGTCCGCCCTGGGGACAACATCATATATTGTTACACTCAATAAGTTAACTGAACTTACTGATGAAAGGCGATTGCATGCAGTAGATATGCGAATGTTGCGATGGATGCGTGGAGTAACGAGAATGGATAGAATACGGAATGAATATGTTAGAGGAAGTCTGAAAGTGGCACCCGTGACAGAGAAGCTGAGAAGTGCGCGTTTGGGATGGTATGGACATGTGATGAGACGAAATGAAAATGAGGTTGGTAAGAGAGTGTTAACTATGAATGTGGAAGGATATAGAGGAAGAGGTAGATTTAAGAAGAAATGGATGGATTGCGTGAGGGACGATATGGGTAAGAGGGGAATGAGCGAAGAAATGGTAAATGATAGAGTATGGAAGGAGAAAACATGTTGCGCCGACCCCAGGTGACTGGGAGAAGAGCAGGAGAATGATGATGACTCAATGAGTTAGCTCTATGGTTTTATGACCAGCTCAACTAACCCAGCTCCCTTACTAATCCCTTCCAATGAAAGGTTTTGGGTGGGTAGTCGTATTCCGTCTCTATATGACTCATGCACTCTACCGTTACCAAGTGAATGTGTTCCATTAACTAACCGAACTGTTGTATGGCTCTGTCCGCGGACCACGGCAGCTCTAATGTGATGTGAACTCGTCGCCTCTGATTCCTCGCCCTGTCACAAGATACAATAATCACCTATTAACCTTTAGTGTTTGAAGAGAAGACCATACATTATGTTTTTTTTTTTTATTGCCCTTGTAGGTAGACTAGCATACGGCCCACCTGATGGTGAGTAGTTACCATCGCCCATGGACTTCAGCAATACCAGGGGCAGAGCCAAGCCGCTGCCTACCTATTATACTATACATAGCTGCTGCTATTATGTGGCAGTATTGGGGACTCCCTGGGCTCACTGCAACAGTTCTGACTAAATTCAAAAGTGTAGTTTTCTTGAATGGCACTCAATGTATAACAAATAACAATCAGCTGACGCGCGGGTCAATGACCTAGTGCGTCAGCTAGCTATTTTCTAGGATAGTCGTTTCATTAAATCTAAAGCTACCAAACAACTTGCACAGGTCATTATTTGTTCCAAGTAAGTCATACCCAGCACACTGCACATGCACACCGATACAGTCGACACATAATAGGACCACCTCTTCATAGGACCTCTGCTCTGTTCAAGATCACTGTTCATTTCAACGCAAAGGGCGGTAACAGGAATAGAATAACAACGGTTGGTACACATTTTTTTTATTGCTTAGGTGGGTGGACGAGCTCACAGCCCACCTGGTGTAAAGTGGTTACTGGAGCCCATAGACATCTACAACGTAAATGCGCCACCCACCTTGAGATATGAGTTCTAGGGTCTCAGTATAGTTACAACGGCTGCCACACCCTTCAAACCCAAACTCATGACTGCTTCACGGCAGATATAGGCAAGGTGGTGGTACTTAACCGCGCTGACTCACAAGAGGTCCTACCATCAGTAACACCTAACTTACCTCCGATCACTCTGTAATGAGATACCACTGGAGGCGGCCTCAGAGATGATGGCCACGTCCTTCTCGCCGTCCATGAACCTCTGCTTCTCAGTCAGGTTTAGGGTCTCGAGCGGCACGTCCGCCTCGGATCGGCTCTCGTACAAGATCTGTCCGTCCTCTGTTTGGACCACGCGCCCTTTACGACCTGTCATCTGTCAAAATTACTTTTGGTTTAATTCTAATTTTAGTTTAACCAAAAGGCTGTTTTGTGAACTGCTTTTAGTCATCATGACTCCTTGATACCAAAACAAGTGATATACTTGAGACCTTAAAACTTATATCTTAAGGTGGGTGGCGCATTTACGTTGTAGATGTCTATGGGCTCCAGTAACCACTCAACACCAGGTGGACTGTAAACTCGTCCACCCACCTAAGCAATAAAAATAATAATATAATGTATTAGAAAAAACGGTGCGCGTGCAACTTGGTGCATATGAATTATTACTAAAATGACTGAAATGAGGGAAATGAGTTTCAAAAGTGCGTGTGGTTTTATATTTGCAGTGGATTCCTTTAGTGGTTACCTCTGCCACGTTGTCGGTGCCCCCCAGTTCGTCGACGAGCTGGTCGAGCGTGTTGGGCGGCAGGCGGCGGCCCAGCCGGTGCACGGCCGCCAGCAGCTCCTCCTTCATGCTGCACGCGCGCTCGATGGCCGAGCGGGGCGGCGCGCTGCTGCGGCTGCGACCTGGGGACAACAAAGAGGCTGGAGTCCATGGACATCACTACAGGACTGCCGCCAATCTTCCCAAGACATGAGGTCGGAGTCCAAAACGAAGATTGTTCGCAAGAGTCAGGTCGGTGGGAACAGTGCAGGTTTACAATAAGACCTACCTGTAAAATTATCCTTTTTTATATGCAATTTCTTAGTAAATATTTATTATTAAAACTATTGAAAAACAGACGCAGGATTTAGCAAGTGTAGCAACAACTACACTAGGTACACACTTATAGAAATTGGCACTGAACCCAAGACCAAACCGCGGTGAGATTTTTGACACCACAGAAGCTACGGATGCGTGACCCTGGACTCCTGCATCTCCCTATCCGACGCTGACCTGCAGCTCTTGTGGTCACCCTATTCTCCAGAACAGAACTCACCACGGAATCCTACCTTAAATACTAGTGTGGGGATAGTTTGCGAACTAACCCAAATAGATACCACGGAGGTGCAAGTGTTCCTTTTTTTATGATTGAGAGTTGTTGTGACTCTGAGGCCTTTCCAGTTTCACCAGGACAGGAGGGCGAGCAAGGGCTCAACCAGAAGGGGCGGGATTTGCTAACAGCTACCCGAACGCCTCCAAAGGAGATCTAACAACTCAAGAGCAACTGCTTCGCGAATGAATCTACCACCGGATCGGAATCGCGACCCGCTGAGAAGATCCGACGACAAACTCAGTGGGCTGTGTCTATGGGTTAGTTTACTCGTCGAGCCCTTCGTCGCAAGCGACGGGTTCGACGAGAACGGTGACCGGTGCTTGTGGTGCCTAAGAAGTGTTCGATTTAGAAGGTCAGGGTACCGAGTGCGAGTGGTGAACTGACCTAGATACAGGCCGTTGGTGCCGACCGGCGTCCCGGTGAGGCTGGCGCCGGAGCTGGTGGTGACGGTGAGGGTGGGGGCGGAGGGCGCGCTGTTCTTGCGGGTGAACATGTTCTCGATCTTGTCCTGCGTGGTCGAGGTCTTCTTCTTGGGAGATGCAGCCTTCTTCTTCTTTGGTTTCTTTTTGCGATTCAGCCAGGGTTCTGCAAGGGTTACATGGGGGTGAGGACCGCGCTGCAGCAACTATCGCGTAGTAACACTACTCAGTTCGCTAGGGGGCACACGTTACATCCCCTAATCTCCCGCGTCTGCACACACAGGTTTAATTTTAATTTACCTACTCGGAGAACTAATTGGTTCTTCGCCTTTATTGAACGCACAACCTTTGCTAATTGTTCGTCTATACTAGAACACAATTTATCTATTAAGCGCACTAAACAGACCTTACAGTTCGAAGCCTGTCGCATCTAGTTCGAAAGTTCTTTTGTAATAACAGTTAACTTTTATTTAACATAGATGTTTTCATCATTTACCTGGTGGTAGGACCTCTTATGAGTCCATCCTTCCTATTTCTGCCGTGAAGCAGTAATGCGTTTCGGTTTGAAGGGTGGCGCAGCCGTTGTAACTATACTGAGAGGTGGGTGGCGCATTTACGTTGTAGATGTCTATGGGCTCCAGTAACCACTTAACACCAGGTGGGCTGTGAGCTCGTCCACCCATCTAAGCAATAAAAAATAATAATAATAATAATTACTAGTAGTGAAAGTCTATTGGCTTAACATTAAGAAAGTACGCAATGTATGATGTGGTGGCGTCGTACCGTCGTCGCTGTCGCTGCCGCCCCTGAAGGGGTTGAAGTCGCTGAGGTCGGAGTCGGAGGCGGCCCGCTGCTGCTCCTCGTCGGACTCCATCTCCAGCTCGTCGGAGGAGCCGCCGCGGACGAACTCGTCGGACGAGGAGCCCCCGCGGGCGCGCTTGGCCGCGGCGTTCGCTTGCTGGCGTGACGTCACTGGAGACGAGACCAAATTCTGACTTACATTCGACAGCACAGCATAGTATGACGTCATGCGGTCTGTGGTATCCGAGCACCCTGTACATGAACTCAATATTTATACAGGGTGTACTGATGTACTGAAACTATGCACAAGACTCTGCTTCGACAACAACTTAACCACAGGCAGATGGTGAAGTCATTCACACGTCCCTCTAATAACGTTAAAATATAGTGATTGGCATTAAGTCACGATCTTTACTGCAAATATCATAGCAGCTTCACCAAGATTACAAAAAATAACAGTGAGCATGACACAACGACTCACACTTTCTCTTGGACGTGTTGGCGTCGTCGTCCCGTCCGTTGGTGCCGTTGTGCGGGGGCGCGGGGGGCGCGGGGGGCGCGGGGGGCGGCGGCCTGTTGGCGCCGAGCCCGAGCAGCCGGTTGATGCGGTCGCGATCCGGCGCCGGGAAGTGCTTCTCCACAAGCGTCTGCAGCACCCCCCTGGAAGTGACAACATTTTGGACGCAAGTGTAATGAAGTATTGCAAATACACTGCCGCCTCCCAGGTCGAGGTGTGTGGTGCACTGACTTGGCGGTGGACACGAAGTCCGTGAGGTCCCCATCATCCCTCTCGAGCTGGTCGAGGGTGCGCGCCTCCCCGGTGCTCTGCAGGCCAATGACGACACACTTGCCGCACTTCACGGCCTCGCGGGCGGTCACCACGGCGTGGTTCACCTGAACACATTCGCAAACGTCATTTACTTTTTTTTTTTAAACTAAGACCATTAAGTCATGTCTTATTTTAATTTATATTCTTAATTTTATGAAAAATTATAGTATGGAGTGAAATGAAATGAAATGAAAATGATTAATTTGGGAGATTAATCAACTGGGATGTAATTAAATGACATGCGATGAAATATTATTATAATCTCAGTAAAATGGTGGTCATTTACTGAGATTTTTTCAATGGACTATTTGGAGGATCCCGAAAAGTTACGTCCAGCGGCTTTGTTTCATTTTCCGACATTTGTGCACTTTCACAGATACTAAACAGTTAATAAACCACCGTTATTACACATTTAAACCCGAAGAAACACTAAATAGACAAAATAAAACAAATCACACAACTTCACTCCTCGCGTTCCCGCCAAAAAGTCCACGTCATTTAGAGAACTAATTTGATTTTACATCACTATTGCACTGTTTGTGCAAATGGCCACTGAAAAGTTCCTTGTTTAGAACCGAAGACTAAATGTTAAACCTTAAAGAGCCTCTCAAAAATTGAATGCGTACACAAAGTAGTGTCTGTGTGGCTGTCGATGTGATTAGTGAGTTTTTTAACGTTCTCGATAGCGTAAAAGTTAACTCAATAGCGCCCCTAGCGGCAAACGTTCCAACTTCATACAAATTTAAGTTAACTTTTACGCTATCGAGAACGTTAAAAAACTCGCACTAAGCACACTGATCGCGCTTATCATTAAAACAGAGCGCCATTTAAACTAAACCAACATTAAAAATCGGACACTCTCGTCAGAGTTATCGTGGTGGCGCTGACAATGTTTCTGTCAGTATGTATGTTCTATTCTATATTAGTAGTTAATATTTAGTTTTCAGGGATTGCAGCATTAAACAAAACTTATAATGATAGAAATGTGTCAACCACGCCGCATTATAATTGAATATCGTCGTTGTCAAACCAAACTCTGCTAAGTGCACTTTTTGAGATTTTTACTTTTTGACCTTTTCGTGTAGTTCGCAGCCCTATCTTCCGCATAAAAAACTGTTATGTGTCTATAGCTCTAATATTTATCTAGAGCTTTCATTTGATATAGTTCTTAAAAATTCACCATCATTTTATACGAAAATATTTTTACTCGTTAATTGAAAATAGTCTTTGCACATAGCAGATTTTGGTTTGACAACGACGATAGATTGAAACAGTAAGGACACATACCTTAGCCGCAATACACAGGTACTTGAAGAACCTCTGATGAGCAGACCAGAACTGTCCCCACATGGTTTTCCTCATCCTCGACTCCGCGTCTATCAGCTCGGCGGCCTCCGTGAACCGCTGCATGGCCTCCACCCACTGCAGCAAGCGAATGCACGATAACCTCAAGTTGTCCGGCTCCGTGGAGAGTGAGCGAGAGGGGAATAAAGGTGCGAGTGAGAGGCGCGATTAACGCCAGCTCCACACGTTGGCCCTAACAGAAGCCCCAACGCCACTCGCCCAACGTGTGGATCTAGAAAACATTGGCCGTAACGTTGGAGCGATCGTTCAAATCGAATTATAATTTGCGTAATTACTGGTGGTAGGACCTCTTGAGTCCGCGCGGGTTGGTACCACCACCCTGCCTATTTCTGCCGTGAAGCAGTAATGCGTTTCGGTTTGAAGGGTGGCGCAGCCGTTGTAACTATACTGAGACTTTAAAACTCATATCTCAAGGTGGGTGGCAGAATTTACATTTTAGATGTTTCTATGATGTTGATAGCTCTGCTAACCATTTAACACCAATGCTGTGAGCTCGTCCCCCCTTCTAAGTACTAAAAAAAATAGATAGCTTCAGCCGGCACAGGTAGGTATACTAAAGTTACAGGAGTGAAGGTAAGTAGAGTGGCACCGACCAGCGCGACGCTCTTGTCGTAGGTCTCCTTGAAGGCGTCGGAGAGCGGCACCTCCTCGATGCGGAAGGACACTCCGTGGAAGGACAGCTGGCGCGCTATGTACATCCCGCGCAGCTTCATGTCCATCGCCACTATCTCCATGGCGCCCACGCCTCTGTCCTCATCGCAAACGTCATTCTCATTATAGATTTGTTCAGTTAAAATTAAAAAAATTAAAAGGAATTTGTAAGTAATGTGGTGATTTTTTTTATACATATTATGACCGAGTATTTTTTTATAAATCACAATCGTATAAGGGGAATTAAATGTAAACTAATCAATTTAATAATTAAATAGTCATTCATTCATTCATTCATTCAATTATTATTATAAGTTCACTATATAATCCCTATCTAATGTATTCCCCTTTTGTCACATTTCGTCTTTTCGCATTAAAAATGTACAATTTCCAAATATATTCGAAATTGAGTTAATATGCGGAATCATTTGATACCACCAGTGTTTTTCTCATAAATACTGTCAAAAGAGCGTAGTTCAGTTTTTTTTTTTTAGTTTACCTACGTATATTTAACTACTATTAACAAAATTAATTTACAATTTTATCTTACTTTAAAAGACAAATAATGTAATTGGTAAAAACTAAAAAATTAATTATGCAAAGATGATTAATATTAAAATTATGATATGTTAAGCCTTTAAAACACTCTCCTGTAAAATTTAGTAAGTTTTGAGATTAAACAGTTTTAATGCGAGAAATCGATTTGTACTACTTCACCGACCCATCTAAAACAAACTCATTTTAGAAATATAATCAGTCAGTAATTAGCTCCGGTAAAGTAATTTAATGTTTGGTTTCCCTCTTGCTCTGTTATTAAATCTCACATCTATTGCTTCACTGTTACAATATAAAGGTTAACGTAGATCTGTCTGCTGTCTTCCCTAAAATTAAATCATTCATGTAACTTTACTGAGGCCATAGAACTTATATCTCAAGGTGGGTGGCGTATTTAGGTTGCAGATGTCTATGAGCTCGAGTAACCACTTAACACCAGATGTACTGTGAGCTCGTCCAACCATCTAAGCCAGCCTTTCCCAAAGTAGACGATAACGCCCCCTAGTGGGCGCTAAAGGCCTAAAAGGGGGCCGTAGGAGACCCAGAAAAAAAAGGGGGCGTTGCGTAGACGCTTGGGTAGCGATTTGTAACTGCATCTAGGAAGACTCTTAGACACCGATTGAGCTCTCGCTATTTTTTTATTCTATCAGCCCATGGACGTCCACTGCTGGACATAGGCCTCCCCCAAGTCTCGCCACAAAGAATGGTCCTGCGCTGCCTGCATTCAGCGGATACCCGCGAACCTCAATAGGTCGTCGGCCCACCTTGTGGGAGGCCTACCCACGCTACGTCTTCCAGTACGCTATAGCTCTTACAATATAGCTCTCGCTGTAGTGGTTTTTAAATAGATGAAAAAATGGGGGCGCTAAAAAATAATTTATTCTCAAAGTGGACTGTAGACCAAAATAAGTTTGGGAGCCCCTGATCTAAGCAATAATTTTTTTTTTAAATCTTCCAGAACAACAATTCATTCACTGGCTCGGTCTTGTACGTTAATAGACAAGTGCCACCCGTATCCCCCACATCGGGCCCCTCACGTACCTCTTCTCCACAGCGTTAATAAAGTCCATAAAGGTCGGGAAGGGCGTCCCCTCCCCCCATATCCCGAGGCGCACCATGTACGCCATGTTCCTGGGCTCCGAGGCCCCGGTGGCGGACGCGTACACCACCCTCGCCTTGGGCAGCTTGTTCTGCAGCTCGAGGGCCGTCAGACCTGTCTTCGTCGCCTTCCCGGAGCCGACGGGGCAGAGGTTCTTTGCCTTGTGACACTCGTCGAATACGATCTGAGTTTCTTTAGTTAAAGAAATATTTTTTTTATTGCTTATATGGTTGGACGAGCTCACCTGGTGTTAAGTGGTTACTGGAGCCCATAGACATATACAACGTAAAGGCGCCAACCACCTTGGGATATGAGTTCTAAGATCTCAGTATAGTTACAACGTCTGCCCTACCCTTCAGACCGAAACGCATTACTAGTTCACAGCAGAAATAGGCAGAGCGGTGGTACCTACCCGCGCGGAGTCACAAGAGGTCCTACCACCAGTAAATTAAATTGTCGGATGTTGCAAGCGTTGGGGCTTAGAGCCTTCTGACTAAACGTTACTCCTGTGTTTTACTGGTGGTAGAACGTCTTGTGAGTGCGCGCGGGTAGGTACCACCACCCTGCCTATTTCTGCCGCGAAGCAGTAATGCGTTTCAGTTTGAAAGGTGAGGCAGCCGTTGTAATTATACTTGAGAAGATCTTAGAACTTATATCTCAAGGTGGGTGGCGCATTTACGTCCTAGATGTCTATGGGCTGCATGTAACCACTTAACACCAGGTGGGCTGTGAGCTCACATCTAAGGAACAAAAAAAAAAAAACTAATGTGTTCTTTGGAAAGGATACAACTCCGTCAAAGTCCTCCCCGCACCACTGCAGCAGCTGCTTCAGTCTGGACCTGTACTTGGTGTTGTTGCTGGCGGTCTCGCCGATGAGCGAGGAGTAGGTGGCGAACACGACCCCCTTCTTCACGTTGCCGTTCACGGCCGACGAGATCTTCGCGTACTTGAACTGAACAGCGCAGCGACCAATCAGTGGGTAGGTGCAACTTTTTTTTTCCTACCTATCCTAGTAACCCGCGAGGAGTTATTCTAGATTCGCCGAGCTCACGGGGCTCAAACCTGACGACGTTGCTAACGCGAACCCTAACAAGAGCCGTGCTTCGCAGAATCTACCACCGGATCGGAAACGCGACCCACTGAGAAGATCCGTGCGAGAAACTCAGAGGACTGTGTCTGTGAGTTAATTTACTCGCCGAGCTCTTCGTTGCAAGCGACGGGTTCGACGTGAACCATGATCGGTGCAACTTTTGTGTGATGACCGTTAGTGCATGCACTGGGTACTTTTTCATTGTTTTGGTTCATTTGATATTTTCAATTTATTGTACTAGTTCTTATAGATTTAACCGAATTACAAAATAACATAGTTTAGTATACAACAAAATAAATAAAAAGACTCCGACAAAGCTGATACTGTGCAAAGTAAATATTTCAAACTGGTTATTAAGAAACTTTTTTATTGTTGTAATGATGTCCGAGGTCTACACCACAGGGCCAATGTAACCGCCCGCTTAAAGTCCTTGAAGTCCCACTACTTCACGACTGCTTCACGAAAGTGTTATTGGAGCTAGCCACACTGCTTTGCACTTTTTTTCTATTGCCCTTGTAGACATACGAACATACGGCCCACCTGATGATGAGTGGTTACCGTCGCCCATGGACTTCAGCAATACCAGGGGCAGAGCCAAGCCGCTGCCTACCGCTTAATACTCTCCACAAGCCTCTTTTAAAAAAGGACATGTCATAGCGCCCGGGAAACACCGTGGAGGGGAGCTCATTCCATAGCCGGATGGTACGTGGCAAAAAAGATCTCTGGAAACGCACTGTGGATGACCGCAGTGGCTCCAGGTAGTATGGAAGAACTCTACTCCGATTATATAGTGACATGTTCTATTGTTATACTGGCAGGTAAGCCTACGGCTTGTTTTGTTTTTTTTATTGCCCTTGTAGGCAGACCAGCATACGGCCCACCTGATGGTGAGTGGTTACCGTCGCCCATGGACTTGTGGCGAGTGAGCAAGTCAACTCGCACATCTCAACGAAGCACAGAAATCATACGATTTTACGTCACATCAGGTGATCCGAGTGCCGTGTGCAAAGAATGTTAAACCACGCCCCCTGCAACATGTCGCCGGCGCATCTTATTTGTCGAAGTGGTAAAGACACAAGATGGCCACGCTTTGATCTATTGTTCTTCAGGCGGAGGACATGTTNAGAAATCATACGATTTTACGTCACATCAGGTGATCCGAGTGCCGTGTGCAAAGAATGTTAAACCACGCCCCCTGCAACATGTCGCCGGCGCATCTTATTTGTCGAAGTGGTAAAGACACAAGATGGCCACGCTTTGATCTATTGTTCTTCAGGCGGAGGACATGTTGAAAGGGGCGGCAACTCCTGCGCAAATTATTATTGACTACAAGTTATAGTTATAGTTCTAGTTTTGGTTTTCACTATAAATACGAGTGTGCCGTAATTTTAACACGAGTATACATACAGACCATCTGGAATACTTCAGACTTCAGCAATGCCAGGGGCATAGCCATATATTGCTGCCTACCGCATAACCTTGTGGACATTAGTAGTCCCGGACACACAGACAAGCCACTTCCTAAATAGATTACCTTATTGAGAGGGTAGACTTCAATTTTCCCGGCCCCGATGTCCCGGAGGTCCCTCTCGGCGTCGTACTTGAGATCGTTGGAGACGGACACCCATATGGCTCGCTTCCGACCCTTGATGTAGTTCTCGAATATAATGCCGGCTATCGTGCGACCTTTGCCCACGCCCGCACCGTCACCTAAACGAGTCAATGACAGCTTTTTTTATTTTTGTTGCTTATATGGGTGAACGAGCTCACAGCCCACCTGGTGTTAAGTGGTTACTGGAGCCCATAGACATCTACGACGTAAATGCACCACCCACATTGAGATATAAGTTCTAAGGTCTCCAGTATAGTTACAACGGCTACCCCATCCTTCAAACCGAAACGCATTACTGCTTCACGGCAGAAATAGGCGGGACGGTGGTACCTACCCGTGCGAACTCACAAGAGGTCAGGTCGTCTCTCACCTATGAGGAAGCCCGCCCTGGTTCCGTCCGGGAGCGTATGCTCGTGGGCCTGCGACGCGTACACCACGGCCTCCAGCTGCAAGGCCGACAGCAGCCCGCCCCGGATCGTCTCGTCCGGTAGACTCAGCTTGTACGTCACGTCCACCGGCTCCACGGACGACAACGACGCCGTCTCCACCACAGGATCCGGGTGTTTTCTACCTAGTTTCACTGTTGAGAAGAATCATCGTTCGTGATACGGTGTATGGTCTACTCGCGGGGCGGTACCGCGACCCGACCTTTTTTTTCCTAATGATAGCCTTGAGAGGCTATATCAGCGTCGCCTTAACTAGTAAGTGAGCTCGCAGAATCTACCACCGCATCGGAAACGCGACCCACTGAGAAGATCCGGCGAGAAACTCAAGTGGGCTGTGTCTGAGGGTATACCCGACCTGTTCCTGCAGATGAGCTACCGTATGATCTAATTCAGGGGCTCCCAAACTTATTTTGTCTACTGCCCACTTTGAGAATAAAATATTTTTTGGCGCCCCCATTTTTTCACCTACTTAAAAACCTCTACAGCGAGAGCTCAGTCGGTGTCTCAGAGTCCTCCTTTTTTTTTTTTTTAACGCTGGGGAATCCATTTACGGATACCCGGTCGAGGGGGTAACGGACCGGGTTATGTCGGACTCCGGCGCCTCCTGAGAGGAAGAAGGGGAGAAGAGAAGGGCAGAGGTCCTTCACCTCCCCCAATTTCTCACAGGAGACTACGCCTTGAAAAAGGCGCGCGAAGCACTTGCCCCGCAGAACGACTACCGACTAAACCCCATCGAGCCCCACCACTCCAACTCCACGAAACCCACGGTACCGCACAGTGCGCGCCGAAGGTCTCAGAGTCCTCCTAGATGAAATTACAAATCCCCTCCCAAGCCTCTACACAACGTCCCCATCTTTTTTTCTGAGTCTCTTACCGCGCCCCTTTAGACCTGCAGCGCCCACGAGGGGGCGTTATCGTCCACTTTGGGAAAGGCTGCTCTAATTTGAAGAATAGCAGAGTCGCTGCGCATAGCAACTGGATATTGACTCTTGCATCTTAAGATGAGCGGCAGCTTCTATCTTGTCTATGGGCTCAAATGACCACCGCACACGTCGAATTTGCTATTTAATGACATTGACACTTATAACAATCTACAAGTCCATCATACCAAACTTTCACGATCCATTAAATTTAGTATCTTTTTAATCTCTTTTCTTGCATCTACATTTATTACATGTAACAATTTGCTATAATGAAGTATTAATACAAGGACATCTACATATTACAGTAACGCACCCTTTGGCGGCATGTAGTCCGCGTATGTTTCTGCGACTCCCATTTCTTCATCGTCCACTTCCTCTTCCTCTCCAGGCATCTGCAGATAATACTCAACATTTATAATGATGATATCACTGTCCCAACTCATCACTTAACCTGTACTGCCTACAACAAGCTTCTCCATGAATTATTTTTACTAAAACTGGCTGATTTAGCACCAGACTGAAAGTTACTGGTGGTAGGACCTTTTGTGAGACGGGTAGGTTCTACCACTCTGCCTATTTCTGCCGTGAAGCAGAAAGCAGTAATGCGCTTCGGTTTGAAGGGCGGGGCAGCCGTTGTGACTATACCTAGAACTTATATCTCAAGGTAGCATTTTCGTTGTTGATGTCTGTGGGCTCTGATAACCATTTAACACCAGGTGAGCTGTAAGCTCGTCCACTTACCTAAGCAACAAAAAAAAAGTAGGTTAGAATCTACGGGGGCAGAATTTGTGGGCGTCAAATCTGGAGCCAAATACTTTTTGTCTTAGAAAAATTAAAACGCACGGTTCACGCGACCAGTTCAACAGTGGCATTACACTAAGATAAATTTCGTCAACTAGAGAATCGAATTTGAATAGCCCTACTGACAACTAATGTGAAAATTTTTCACAGCGTGTGCTCAGGAATGCTTAACTGCTCCAACCTGTCGCCTTGAGATATTTGTTCTCCAGAGGATTTATAGCATGTCAGGGTTGAGAGCGGTATTTGGCGAGTGTTCTCGCTAGTAAAACAAAACTCATACTACCTTATCCTGGTGCCACATTCCGGGCTTGATCTGACCAGCCCAGGGGGGCAGCTGCTGCGAGAACTGACCGAGCATCGAGCCCCCCATGCCGGCCGCTATGATCTGATTGAGATTCTGCAGCAAATACGAGTTGACGCCCGTAATGCCGACCATCTCCACTGTTGGGGCGAAATTATAACCCAAATAATTACATGAATCTCAATTCTCTGTATAGTTCATGAAATATCAATATATTAATACGTGAAGGAAAAACTTTGTATCCCTTTTTAAGAAAATTGCGCGGACGGAGGAAAATGAGATATCCCACACTTATAGAGAATATAGAGAAGGGGTGTAGTATGTTAATATTTTTTTAAATTACATATGCCTAATAATACATTAAATCAATAAAAAAAACATTACACACACTACATACCGTGTATTTGACGCACACACGCATGCATACTATTTATTTATTGTCAAACTTTTGTTCTTGACGTCTGTGGTCAAATTGAGAATAGATTAAATATTGTTTTTCTTTATTAATATTTTTCTATAGTGTAGTCTTGGCGAAATTTGTGATTTATGAAATAGTCTTTGAAAATAGTATCATAAGTGTACAAACTTACAATTTCAATTAATTATAGTCGGATTTCGACTACTGCGGGACCACTAGTCTATACTAATATATAAATCTACAGTCGTTTTTTAAGGATGTTCCGTTATAACTACTGAACCATGCATCCGATTGACTTGAAACTTGGTATCCGTGTAGAAAATACATGTACTTAATGGATAGGCTAATATTTATGTGAGTGTTGGGACTCCCTAATAATAATGACAATAAATAATAATGTTAATTTTAAATGCCCAGCGAAGCGGACGAGTACGGCTATTTACAATATAGTTATTGTCCTGAGTGATTATTGAATTATTTATAAACGCCAAGCCACAACTAAGGCATCGAATAGAAGCATTAAATGTTAGTAGTCGATGCCTTTGATGTTGTCAGCATCAGCTAAGGATTTTTGGAAATTTCGTCCCTAAAGAGTAAAATAAGATATGAACAGTTGTGGTATGAAATTTTGTTATTTTCAAACTACGAAGAAGCACGAAAATTAATTGTACTAAAGCGTTAAAATGGTAATTAAATAGAAGCGTTAAATAAAACAGTACGTCGAGCACGAAAATCTATCGAATTCGTAATGTAAATGTATCGAGTCCTCGACTAGACGGTAGTACTCGATAGCCAGACAGACAGCCTTCGAGATTTACGTTACCGCATTTCAAAACAATTTTCGTGCTCTCGATTATGAGTTTCGAGTTTCTAGAACGTGATTATTCGATTGGGAAACGAAAGTAATGAAAATTAATTCGTGTTACTGAAATTAATTCTTTTTACGGACAATAGGTAGGGGTGCTGTTTCAATCCTATATATTTTTTATCGATAGCGATACGATTTTGTGGTAGTACCTCTTGTGAGTCCGCGCGGGTAGGTACCACAACCCTGCCTATTTCTGCCGTGAAGCAGTAATGCGTTTCGGTTTGAAAGGTGGGGCAGCCGTTGTAACTATACTTGAGACCTTAAACTTATATCTCAAGGTGAGTGGCGCATTTACGTCGTAGATGTCTATGGGCTCCAGTAACTACTCAACACCAGGTGGGCTGTGAGCTCGTCCACCCATCTAAGCAATAAAAAAAAACTTTTTCGATAGTCATTCGTGCTTGCCTCTCTGATAACAGTGCTACAGTATGAGCGGATCATTGTACATACACAGGAATACTAGTAAGAATAGTAAGTGAAGAACGACAAGGGTCTATTAAACATATCTTATGATCTGGCCGACTACGACGGTTCAAAAGTCTCTGACCTACCTCCTGGACTCACACCTGGACATTGCGTAGACTCAACGAGAGCATCACATAACATTCAAGAAATTAGGAAGTTCGATGACCCGTAGTTGAGATTTTTTACCGACTTCAAAAAAGGAGGAGGTTCCCAATTCGACAATGTTTTTTTTTTTGTTACCTCATACCTTTTGACTGAGTGAATCGATTTTGATGATTATTTTTTTATTAGAAAGCTGACGCTTCCCGTGTGGTCCCATTACAATGTAGTCCAGTTCTGATAATGGTATCCACGAGAAAACCACTAAGTCTTAAAATTTCATTAAGTACGTGCGCGACATAGTATAATATCTCAATATCACGCCAACCGATTTCTATGATTATTGTTTTTAGTGTATATTAATTTGTTTTGGAATATCTTTTTTTTTCTATTTGAAGTCGGTTTTTGTTAAAGCATGTCTATTTACAATTATTGAACTAAAACACAACAACTTAATTAACCAGGCATATTTTGGATTCAATGTTTTTCCGAGAACCTATAATGAAAAGAGAATAACAAGCTTTATTTTCACAAGGAAAACTTGAAGGAAACTCGTTAAAGAAAATAGATTTTCTTGTTTAAATTCCTCTTTAATTGGTTCTGGGTGGAACACGAGACTGGTATTATTTTTTATTGCTATTATTAATTTATATTTATTCTCCGAATTGTTGATCGGAATCACGAGCCACTGAGAAGATCCGGCGAGAAACTCAATGGGCAGAATACTGATATTAAATCTTTTTTTTATTGCTTAGATGGGTGGACGAGCTCACAACCCACCTGGCGTTAAGTGGTTACTGGAGCCTATAGACATTTACAACGTAAATGCGCCACCCACCTTGAAATATAAGTTCTAAGATCTCAGTATAGTTACAACGGCTGCCCTAACCCTTCAGACCGAAACACATTACTGCTTCACGGCAGAAATAGGTAAAACGGTGGTACCTACCCGCGCGGACTCACAAGAGGTCCTACCACCAGTAATTACGCAAATTATAATTTTGCGGGTTTGATTTTTATTACACATTTGTTATTCCTTCACCGTGGAAGTCAATCGTGAACATTTGTTGAGTACGTATTTCATTAGAAAAATTGGTACCCGCCTGCGGGATTCCAACATCGGTGCATCGCTCAACACGAATGCATCGGATGTCTTATCCTTTAGGCCAAGACGACTTCATAGCAAGACGACTTCAATAACAAGCAAAATGGAGATTCAAAAGAACTACATCTGTAATGTGTGCGTTTACTTTATCCAATAAAAATCTAATAAAGATTAGCAGCTGGTAAAGCACTATGTTAATGAAACGTAAGACGTGTGACGAATCGCTAATTGAAAAAAAAACTTTTATGTGCCAATTTAAAACGAAAAGCACAACTATGGTCGGGGATAAACACAAAAGGGAGTTAAGGGAGTTTTTACTGGTGGTACGACCTCTTGTGAGTCCGCACGGGTAAGTACCACCGTCCCGCCTATTTCTCCCGTGAAGCAGTAATGCGTTTCGGTTTGAAGGGTGGGGCAGCCGTTGTAACTATACTGAGACCTTAGAACTTATATCTCAAGGTGTGTGGCGCATTTACGCTGTAGATGTCTATGGGCTCCAGTAACCACTTAACACCAGGTGGGCTGTGAGCTCGTCCACACATCTAAGCAATAAAAAAAAAATAGTAATGCAGTTTTCAAAGGCACATTTTTTCATACTACCGCCATTGGTCCTGTCAAGAGTATCCTTCCATATCGTTGGTTCAATGTGCATAGGGTTAAAAATCTCGCAAAGGAGTATTATTCTATAGGATAATACCCCTATACCTAATACTTACTACCTATATAACCTACAGGTATCTATCCGCCCACAGACATTAACTGTTGGACATATGCCTCCGCCAAGCCTTGCCACAACGATTGATCATCGCTGCTTGCATCCAGCGGATCCGCCAAGCCTTGCCACAACGATTGAACATCGCTGCTTGCATCCAGCGGATCTCTGCAAATACCAATAGGTCGACGGTCCACTTTGTGAGAGGCCTACCCACGCTACATATAAAACAACCCACAGGTTTATTTAGAAGTAATTTTACGATTTAATATCGCGTTTATTGTTTTTATTTTACGATTTCCGAATTTGGAATACTTTAGTTTTTGTGGCCACGAACGACTATGGTCTCATCTATACGTCGAAAACCAAACATTATGCTAACTACCGTCAAATTTTCCAGACGTCTCTTCTCCTTGTCTCTACCTTATCCCACTAGGTGAAGTCGGCACAGCGAATTTTTCTATTTCATTCTCTTCTATCAGTTGTCATCTCAACACTCACCAACACTCACCAACACTCACTCCTCTCTCTCTCATATCGTTATTCACACACTCCATTCATGTCTTCTTCGGTCGACCTCTTCCCCCTCTACCTTGCACTACCAAGCACCAGACGTATCAGTTCTTATACTAAACAAGCCAAGCGGCTAATCGTAACATTGCCAATCAACCCAAACACTACAACATAGAAACGCCAACCTTATAAATCAAATACTGCTTACATTATATCTCACAAACTTTATTTATGTTCTCTAAGCTGAGTGCTAAAGCCAAAGATACTGATTTACTCTAAACTTCAACTTAAGAACGTGATCTTTTAGCAACAAAAATGATTATCTAAGCGTGAAAAATAAAACTTCTCGCAAGGCCTTTTATTAGAATGAGTCTAGTTATTGATTGATTAGCTATTTTAGGTAAGTGGTTACAANTACATTATATCTCACAAACTTTATTTATGTTCTCTAAGCTGAGTGCTAAAGCCAAAGATACTGATTTACTCTAAACTTCAACTTAAGAACGTGATCTTTTAGCAACAAAAATGATTATCTAAGCGTGAAAAATAAAACTTCTCGCAAGGCCTTTTATTAGAATGAGTCTAGTTATTGATTGATTAGCTATTTTAGGTAAGTGGTTACAAAACTATAAATGTCGAAAAAGCTATTTACATTACACTAGATTTAGGGATATCACGATAAATGTAATCATTTAAAAACAAATGATCTCTAGAGTTTCGACAAAAAAAAACAATCATTGATCAAACCAGTCCACCAGAGTGAAAGGGACCCAAAAATGATTTTTTGTCTTTTATTTCTGGATCAATAAGAAATTTAAAACGGGAATTAGCTAAAGGTCATATCTTCGTCATTAAATTTATTCTAAACTTGCGCAGTTCAGTTTCGAGGAAAAGAAAAACGCATCTCTCAAAAGGTTCACTAACATTATATACACATTTCTGTCTGTATCTCGACAGCAAGATGGCCTAAAGAAATTGGATAAGACTTCAGAATTTTCACGTCAGTCTTTCGATTCAGCTCTTCAGAACCATTAAAGCTTCCATCTTTTTATTTTTTTTTATTGCCCTGTTAGGCATACGAGCATACGACCCACCTGATGGTGAGTGGTTACCATCGCCCATGGACTTCAGCAATGCCAGGGGCAGAGCCAAGCCGCTGCCTTTTTTTTAATTGCTTATATGGGTGGACGAGCTCACAGCCCACCTGGTGTTAAGTGTTACAACGGCTGCCCCACCCTTCAAACCGAAACGCATTACTACTTCACGGCAGCAATGGGCAGGGTGGTGGTAACCACCCGCGCGGACTCACAAGAGGTCCTACCACCAGTAAAAACCTACCGGTCTTCTTCTAAGATCTTCACGGTCAAACTCCTAAAATCTAGTGTAACGCAAAGCGGTAAGTGGAAACGCACTGAAACTCTACAATGGAACCGTACTCACTCTGCGCGAGTAACGAGGCCGCGTTGAATGCGGCCGACGAACCCGCCGCGAACGGAGCCATCGCCGCGCCCACTGTGACACACGCACATTACCTGTTACCTCACTATTATTCAATTACCAAATCGAGTCCGCCATTGATCTTTTAATACGGACCCCACAACTCGCTAGACGCTGTTGACTTGAGACATGAGGTGTCGTGACACGCTGTCTCTCGAATATGTTAACAGAGTATAGGCAGGAAAATGATACCTAGCAGATTCGCAATTAGCTTCAGTAGCTACGTCATCATCGCTGGCGGTTGCAAAGAAAATTTGAAAATAATTTGAGAATCATGCTCAAAGTTCAATTAAACCAGTGGTTCCTAAACTTATTTTGTATACTGAAAACTTTGAGAATAGATTATTTTTTTGCGCCCCCATTTTTTCACCTACTTAAAAACCACTATAGCGAGAGCTCAGTCGGTCCCTCAAGAGTCCTAGATGAAATTGCAAATCGCCTCCCACGCCTCTACACAACGCCCCCATTTTTCTGGGTCTCTTACCGCCCCCGTTTAGGCCTGCAGCGCCCACAAGGGGGCGTCACCGCCCACTTTGGGAAAGGCTGAATTAAGCGATATTAATAAAATATCACAAATAACCGTATTATTCGATTGGTATAGTATGTGCCACAGGCCATTATTGCCAGTGGCATTATGTTATCAAAAATCTTTACCCACACAATTACTAGACAATCCTAGGTTTGGACCGACAAATTATTTGTAAAATCCCGTATTAGTATTTGGATATGGCATTTGACTGCCACATTGTTAGGCAAACTAATTATGAACTATGATTAAAAAAAAGGCTGTAATAATATATCAAAATATCCAGATATGTTCGGGTATTTGTGCATTGACTAGTTCATCCCAGGAATGAACGAATCATTTCCAAGTTATATTTAAGCTGCGAAGTATTTTAGTCCGTAACCCTTAGTGACCGTCTCCAATCACTTTAATGTTCCATTAAAATACTCGAAAGCAGTTGACGGAATTTAAAAATATAATTCACTATTATAAGGTTTGGTAGGCAGCGGCTTGGCTCTGCCCCTGGCATTGCTGAAGTCCATGGGCGACGGTAACCACTCACCACCAGGTGGGCTGTGTGCTCGTCTGCCTACAAGGGCAATAAAAAGAACTTTTTTTTCTATCGACCAAGCGTAACTTCGAATTTATTTCGACTACTGACAAGAAAAGGTAATCAATCTGGCATTCTTTTAAATCAAATGACCTAATTTTATTTTTATTAAAATGATCTCCGTTTAGCCAAGAGGGCGCTTTGTTTTGATGTCCCTGGTAATTCCAATTTTTCTATTAGACGTCCCCTTGAATAGCAGTAATTATATACAGGGTGATTCTTTGAAGGTTTAGGATATTGAGTATGCGTTGAAACCAGTTGTGTAGTAAAACTTGAATGCGAGTTTTGAATAACTTTGGCTCCATCCATCTAAATTACAACCACTCTGTCACCAATTCCATTCGGAGCCCGAGTGACGTTATGGGAATTGAAGATGACGGTAGCTGGAAGCGCTTCACTCCGACAAGACTTTTGATATATAATTGAACGTCACAATTTTTCTCCTATAGTAGAATTATTTTGTCCGTGCAGTTTGGGTCATAAAACATAGCCCGGCTAGGGCGGTGAGCATGTTGCACGGGCGCAACGCCATTATCGATAAAAACAAATGAGTCATCGAAGGCAGGTACACGGTGGCGGGGCGGTATACGAAGGGTGGTGAGACATTGTTATGTTATAAGTCACCTGCAAATTATAGTACACATGGCGCAGAGAAATGTGTTTTTGTGCATTCGCTCTCTGAATTTCTTTAGTGACACAATGGCTTCTCCTTTGTTTTGTACCAAAACGGCAGAATTAATAATATTTTGCCTTTTTTTTTTAACGCTGGGTAATCCATTTACGGTTACCCGGTCGAGGGGGGGAATAATATTTTGCCTGGTGGCAAAAATATACCAGCACAAGCACGTGTTGCTATCAAAAATGTGTTAAATTTTTTCACTGAAATAAAAATAGATTCCGAAAAGTTACAAAGCATTTTTTCTGCCGTTCTCGTTAACTTGCTGCGGCCATATGTGGTGTAAGTGTTCGATTAGTGATTTTTTCTTTCATTTTTATCACTAACCCACAAAATGACAAAACTAAATACACTATCGATAACACTTATCGACAACAATGATGCGCATCACTATGCCCGTCCATAAGGCCCGTGAGTGGAAGAGAGAGCGAAATACTCGCTTCACCGCTCCGATTATTTATGACCCAAACTACATGGAAAAAATAATTCAACTATAGTCTATCTAGTTCTACAATCTAGTTCGTCAAACTTGAAACAAATTTATAAAGTCCGCAACCTAGCAAAGCTTTCATGTTACCAATTATCAATAAGAACGACTCTGTCAGAACTTAGAAGGCGCACGTATCTAATTATTAGCGCACGCGTTTACCCCCACTTTGAGAAATGGTGAGGAGGAGGGAAGGGGGACGGGGGGTCCACGGAACGAACCGCACACCGAATTCAGAAGGCGCACTTCACTACATAGTATAAAACAAAGTCGCTTTCTCTGTCCCTATGTATGCTTGAATCTTTAAAACTACGCAACGGATTTTGATGCGGTTTTTTTTAATAGATAGAGCGATTGAAGAGGAAGGTTTATATGTATAATAACATCAATTAGATAGTGGAGAAATCAATAATTAATTACTGTTTCCGAAGCGAAGCGGGGGAGGGTCACTAGTACTTAACTAAATGTAAATATTCGCGGCCCCCCTACCCCACCACATTTGGTTGTAGCGGGAGGCGGCCACAGTACGATATGGTACGGCTCAACTCTCGCACTTGATAATGCGTAAAATAAACTCACTTCCTCCACGTCCGACTCCTGGCAGGTTGAGGAGATTGAAGGGTTTCGTCAAGGAGCTGGCCTGTATCTTTATTGGCTTCCCATTATGTGTTTGTCCAAACGCAACGCCGGAGGGTGCTAGGGACAAACAGATTTACAATCATTTCTTCATTTTCACATCAGTTTTTTTTCTACACTGGTGGTAGGACCTCATGTGAGTCCGCACGGGCAGATACCACCACCCTGCCTATTTCTGCCGTGAAGCAGTAATGCGTTTCGGTTTGAAGGGTGGGGCAACCGTTGTAACTAAACTCGAGACCTTAAAACTTATATCTCAAGGTGGGTGGCACATTTACGTCGTAAATGTCTATGGGCTCCAGTAACCACTTAACACCAGGTGGGCTGTGAGCTCGTCCACCCATCTAAACAATAAAAAAAACAGCAACAATGCTATCAATAATAGTCTCTTAGTACAGAATGTGAACTATGTGATGAAAAACTACTGCGCTATTGACTAGATCAGTTATGAAATTAATTAAAAGAGTCAAAATAAATTTATTCGACAACAACACTACAGTCACTCATTTAATTAAAACCTATTTAATTTTGTAAAAACGATTAATTCCGAACACAAGATCTAGATCCGGTAACCACTTAACATCAGGTGGGCCGTGAGCTCGTCCACCCATCTAAGCAATAAAAAAATAAAGCCTCTGTAGCGTGGTTAAAGGTTAAGCATTTCGTACAGATCCTATTTAGGAATGAATTCTCTCTTATGATAAGTCATTCTGGACTAGGCATTACGTTCTCACCTGCAAGTGGATTTGTGGTAGGTCTCACCGTGACTTGTGGCGCAGTTGCTTGTGGTACCTTCTTGTCGGCCATCCGGGCTGCAGCAGCCAGCGTTTTACCTCCACCTAGTAAAAAAAAATGCATTAACTATGTGGCAAGGATTTATGGACCATCTGTGTGCTTATTGCGAGTTTTTTACTTCTCAATCGCAGAAATAGGACATAACAATGTTGACATGCAAAAAAGTGATGAGGCTTCTGATGGTTTTGTTCAAAGGTGTCAGGGAATTTGCTAATATTAAAATATTGATCACCAGACCTTGATCTGGTTGACCGGTACAGGTTGATTGTCATTCTTGGCAAAAAAAAATTATTGCTAAGATGTGTGGACGAGCTCACAGCCCACCTGGTGTTAATTAGTTACTGGAGCCCATAGAGATCTATGACGTAAATGCGCCACCCACCTTGAGATATAAGTTCTAAGGTCTCAAGTATAGTTACAACAGTTGCCCCACCCTTCAAACCGAAACGCATTACTGCTTCACGGCAGAAATAGGCAGGGTGGTGGTACCTACCCACGCGGACTCACAAGAGGTCCTACCACCAGTAACCAGCAATTCTAAGGATTCTAATTTAATTCTAGAGGGCAACTACTCCCTGTTGCCCACACTGTTTATATTCATTGTATGTATTAGGTATCACAATGCTGGGAAGACAATAGTCTTCCAGAACATTCTTCCAGAACTTGCTGGTACAGACTAGGAATTTTCTAAAATACAGTCTAGGTCCAGTTCTTCAGTGATACTGTGAAAGCTGAAATTAATACTATCTTTTAAAAATCAAAATCAAAAAAAATTATTCAACATAAATGAAAGTACATACTTGTTGAACGTCAAAAGAACTACCACCAATTCACAAAAACTAGCCTCCGTCCTGAGAAGAAATGGCAAGAAACTCAGCGGGCATGTCTTTTTTTTTTAATATTAGATAATTTAAAACAAAAAAATTAATTTTCATTGACAATCACCTGGCACCTCCAAATTGTCAGGATCCTCTTCATCATCGAAATCAGAATCATCTGACGGCGCCGGATCCTCGGCGTAGGCACGTCTTGACTGTAATATTAAAACATTTTTTTTTTTCTATTATCTAAAAGAAACAATAGGACCATCAATCCAGAAACATATGAAAGAAATAAAAAATACTAATGGACTTCCTATAGGGGCTCAGTTGGTATTGGAAATAAAAATTCCCATCACAAGCACAAATGCTTCGAGTTGCAAATTACCCTCATCGTTTCAAGTTTACAGTCTTCATCAGTTTAGAACTTATAAAATGTCAATGTTCAAATTATCAAACTAATAACAATCTAAGTATATACAAATAAATAAAATTGGAGTGTCTGTTTGTTATAATAAAATAACCACTTTTTACTAAATGCGTAAGTATGTATACCCAGTACATATTACCAAAATAACATTTCTTTTAAAATTTGTGGGTCTCTCTGTTTATCTGTCTGTCTGTTTTTTCTGACTAATCTCTGTAACGGTTGGACCGATTTTGACGGGACTTTCACTGATAGATAGCTGATGATATAAGGAGTAACTTAGGCTACATTTCTTTGGATTAGCTTAGCCCCGCGGCGTCACCCGCTGTACGACAATCACCGCGGGTAACATTGCGGGACTCAGTTTCAAATAAACATAGACAACAAAGAAGCAAAATAACCTATTAATGTTCAGTGTTCTGTAGACAATGGGACTTTTATAATTTCAGTCTTCTTCTCATCTGTCACAGCTATGTTATCTCAGACTATTAACACCCATCTCATCCCAGGAAGAAGAATAGACATTAATCAATACAGTACAGTGACAGAAAGCTCGGTAGCCATGTGTACTAGCTAATAATTTTACCATTTAGTATGGTAACCAATCCTGATGACATTCCATAAATGACGCTGTCATCATCACATGCATATAATGCGGGCTCTGAGATGATGTTCCATGTTCTCTCCTACAATCTCTTTGCAGGCTTCAAATTACTTCTTAAGAAAGAGAGAGCACAATGAAAACTCACATTATTTTATGCCTGTTTTTGATTAAAGCAATCTAAAAATTCTAATTGAAGTGTAGTGCAGTAATATTCCACTAAATACTAATACTATATACTATACTAAACTATATGTAAATACTAACGAGAATTAGACCTTGTATTTCAATTCACTTTGTGATATTGTAATATAAAATCATTTTTATTTATTGCATTAATGGAACCATAACAACAACCTACTTCACACTAAAATGTAAGATTAATATTAATAATATGCGATTAATATTACAAATGTGATATTAATATTATAAACATTGCATTTGTTTGTCCTTCTTTTATGTAGAAACAAAGCAACAAGGTTTTTTTAAAGCAATAGTATTAGAACAGAAAAGTGAGATATTCTACCTTATATCCTGAAAAAACATCTTATCCTCCAGGAAACTACACTGACTCTTTTCCTTGGCCTTGGGGAAAAAGCCGCAGGGAACAACTAGTTAGAAACATTTTTTTTTTATTGCTTAGATGGGTGGACGAGCTCACAGCCCACCTAGTGTTAAGTGGCTACTGAAGCCCATAGACATCTACAACGTAAATGCGCCACCCACCTTGAGATATAAGTTCTAAGGTCTCAAGTATAGTTACATGAACATGGTATGCCCATTTGATAGTAACTGGTAAAAAAACTAGACTGCCAGAAACCCATTCATGTTAGACACTTTTCAATTTAAATATGAAAACGGTAAATCAACATTTCAAAGAAACCAAACTTATTTTGCATTTTCCTGTTTGTGCTCCATTATAGATAACATTCAGATGAATAAATTTGTATATATTTTTTTTTATGTAATATGTCATATTTTTCTTTTTTTTTTTTTTGTTACAGATAATTTACCTTTAAAAATGTTTTGTAGATTTTTAGTGTCTTAAAATATTGTATTTAAAAGTATAATGATCACAAGTTTAGTGTCATGATTTAGATTGTTTAATTTAAAACTTCCTTAAAAAGCACCAGTAATAAATTAAATTAATTTTAAATTTATTGTTTTTTTGACTCTTCAAATTATAACATACATATATAATGTACATATACCACATGTATTATAACATTTAAAAAGAAACGTAACCACAATATAAAAGGAAATCTAAATATTTTAATTACTTCATTAAGACAAGAAACAAAATTTATTTTTTACATAGATAACTATAAATTGTTTACCTATACCAGCTTTTTTTTTACTTATTAAGAATGAAGTAATAAACAAAAACATATATAACATTCATTGGATATTTTTTTGTAATGTAAATTCTGTACTGTATGACTTTTTTCAAAAATGTAGCTTGAACTAGAACTCAGATAACTATGCAATAACCTTAGAAAACCCATACCATTTTTTCATAAATTTTGCAATTATTTGCAGCTTCAGTTCTTGTAAAACCACTCAAAGCCGATAACGCAGGTTTATAACTCGTTTTATTGCTTTTTTTACATCAATACTTGATAAGTAAAACATGCAAACAACATTTTTCATTCCTTCATTTCAAATCCTTTTCTAATGCAATTTCTCCAAACAAACATCATATTACTTGCTCTAATGAGGTTTAAAACTGATTTTTGAACATTTATGTGTATCTTAAAGGACAATATCAGTTAAAGATTTATCACAACTGTCGATATAATGCAATGTGCTATACACTCTCACACACCTACACTTCATTCCTCTAAGACGCATTCTAACAATATACCTAGAACCTTCCAAGAAAATCAATACAGCCACACCCACCTTGCATAATTAACTAACTATTAAGATTGAGAAATAGCTATTGAAACCAAAATACAATCAAATAACATCACATGGGATTTCTGCACCTCATTATGACATCTTTTTTTTGGTTAGAAAACTTAAAAACAATGAAAAAAAATTATAAAAGTCTAGTTTTTTTATTCTTTAATTGATCAGAACTATTAAAGGTACGAAGACGTCATGATAATATCATGAAATACAATAAAAAAAAGGATGAAAACATAATTTTTGACAAACCAAAGTTTGGAAAAAAGTATCAAAACAAAAAACTATCATTACCATTTTTCCTGGGGAATTAGGAGCTCTTCGTATTTCCAAATGGAAAACAATAACAAATTAAGTGACACAGATACGTGTTTTTCAATTTAAAATTTATCACTCGTGAATTTTATTTACGAAAAAATGTAGAATTCACAGCAAAAAAAGTCAGACGTCCGTACGGCGGTCAATGCATCCGCCATATTAAAAAAAGCAGAGAGAAAAGAATAAAGCGTTTCGGATACACACAAATACACAAATTTAGTTTCCTAATGAATAAATCGATTTTCACTGTGTCTAACAAAGCTAAGACTTTGAAGTAAATAATTCAATTAAAAACAATATAATGAAATCGTATTATTAATATCGTCAGATTAACTGGTACTCACTTAAAGAAACATTGGGACAAGGCGATATGCAACTGCCATCACGACATCATAAAAATTTTAATTCGCGCAATTACTGTACAGTTCAAATATATATTTCAAATCAAGGTGTGTGGTGGCACTCATTACGTGATGTCCATGATCTTCAGTAAACACTTAACACCAAGCGGAGCGTTGGACCACATCTTCTACTCAGTTTCATTACACCTCTGCCAAAATCCTATTTTTAGTAAGGATGTCCCAAGTGTGTTGAAGCTATTAAGCAATCTGAAGTGGTGAATGATCAGGATTTGAAATAAAAGCGTAATTGTGAAACTACAATAAAAATAGTTTGTTTTCTTACAGTTACTGCTACAACATATGAAAGTTTGCTGAAAGCTATTACACAACAATAATATTTGGATCTGTTCCTATAGAGTTTTTAGCTATTACGATTGAGAAACCACCATTACCTATTGTATGTAGTAACAAAAGAGGTCTTCAAAATCTTACCTGACCATATTCAAGTGGTATCCTAATATTCTAAGAATTAACGGAAAATAGCAATTGTATACTCATGTAGCGTGTAGACTATATATATAGACTATAGACTATATATATGTATAAATATAAACTATACTTTATGATATAATTTAATAAAGGTATGTTTCTATGAAACTACATAGAAGACAAAATATTTGGTGTGAATTCAAATACAACAAGTTTTCAGTTCTTCTTATTATACTTAGTCTGGCCATAAATACTGTTACAATTAAAAATAAACAAAATATTACATTTGAATTTGGAATCTGTCGTTTTTATATGATTGCTCATTGAGTTTTCTCATTTTGGCGCCAATACATTTTACAATATTTTGCGATATTAAAATGGAGTGGGTTGATAAAGAGAACCGAATCACTGTGATTGCATTACACAAAGTAGGTATGGAGCCAAATGGGATTTTTAAAACTCTCCATACGCTTGGTATTAGTAAAATGTTTGTGTACCGGGCTATTAATAGGTGCAATGAGACCTCCTCTGTTTCTAACAGAAAAAGATCTGGCCGTCCACGTAGTGTTCGTGCGAAAAAGTTGGTCAAAGCAGTAAGGGAAAGAATTCGAAGAAATCCTGTCCGAAAGCAAAATATGTTATCTCGGGAGATGAAGATAGCACCTAGAACCATGTCGCGTATTTTAAAAGATGACTTAGGACTTGCAGCCTATAAGAGATGTACTGGTCATTTCATAACTGATAATTTAAAAGAGAATAGGGTGGTAAAATCGAAACAACTACTGAAGCGGTACGCAAAGGGAAGTCATAGAAAAAATTTGGTTACGGATGAGAAATTTTTTACAATTGAGCAGCATTTTAACAAACAAAATGACCGTATTTATGCTCAAAGCTCTAAAGAAGCTTCCCAATTAGTCGACAAAGTGCAACGTGGTCACTGTCCGACTTCAGTGATGGTTTGGTGGAGTATTAGCTATGTAGGAGTGACTGAGCCATACTTTTGTGAAAAAGGTATCAAAACATCGGCACAAGTGTATCAAGATACCATTCATGAGAAGGTAGTGAAGCCCCTTAACAACACCATGTTCAATAATCAAGAATGGTCCTTCCAGCAAGATTCGGCGCCAGGTCATAAAGCTCGGTCTACGCAGTCTTGGTTGGAAACGAACGTTTCGGACTTCATCAGAGCTAAAGACTGGCCGTCGTCTAGTCCCGATCTTAATCCGCTGGATTATAATTTATGGTCAGTTTTAGAGAGTACGGCTTGCTCTAAACGCCATGATAATTTGGAGTCCCTAAAACAATCCGTACGATTGGCAGTGAAAAATTTTCCCATGGAAAGAGTGCGTGCTTCTATTGATAACTGACCTCAACGTTTAAAGGACTGTATTGCAGCCAATGGAGATCACTTCGAATAAGCTTTTTATACTTTAAATTGTTTTATATTTATGTATTAAACTGTAAAAGTAAAAGTAATAAATGTTATTTGCAAGAGATTTTTTTTCCTTTGTCTCAGTATTTAGGTAGTAGTCATTATACATATCTTTATATCTACACATATTGAAGAAGTGATTTTAATCATTGGGCGCATAAAGGAGTCTTGATGAGTAGAGAAATGGCAAGACTGTGCTTCTTTCTGTTAGGTATTATATTTATGTTTAAAATAGTTGTGCGCATAGGAATCGCAATAACGTGGATGCTACAAGGATATACATGACGTCGTTAAAGTATAAGACATTCTAGTGCATTCTGGAACTCCTATATGTAATTTTACTTCTGGTGAACAACAAATAGCTATACAAGATCGAGTTTGCGAAAAACATACAGAATTTGTTGAACTAAATTCAATTAAATTGAAGTCTGATACATTGGCGATGAGACGTATGCACTATGTCATTATTGTTTTCCTAGATCTCTGACTTCTTAAATACTAGTGAGAATAATATCCGTGCATAGATGCAAAATTAACTCTCATTAGTTGGATCCTCGGATTTTTATACATAGTAGGTATGTCGTATTTATTCTATCACTACTACTACTACTACTACTATTTGTCACTACTACTCTGCTACTATCAATTGACAATCAACTGACAAACCAGATCGTAGATGTGACATTTAAACAGATCATAGCCAAATGTCAAATTTTAGCAAATTTCGCTGCCATCTTTTCGGCGTGTATTTATAAAACTGTTGATTTGTCTACATAATTTCGTAATTTCATTGAATTATCACTAATTTGTGTGATTCTACTGTAGTTACTATAAGCTATATTAGTACGCTGGCAAAATGTATTCTCTCGTGGGCTACGGAAGTGATGATGACGTAGAATCAGAACGAAGCGCTCCTCAACAATCCACGGTAAGTTTTTTTGCGATTTGATGTCCTTGGAAAAGTTGAATTCAGCTTAACAATAGAACTAATTTTATCTTAAGATTCATATAACCTAATCTAATAATCTTAAAATTTGTCATCTATTAGCTTTATTTATCAATTTATTCAATAAACCTACTCATAAGCAGGCATTATAAAATTTTCAATCGGTGTCTACTATTGCACTAAAAGTAGCTGCTTTTAGAACATCTCTAATTAGTTGTAATTAGGTTACCTTTTTAAGAATTAGGGAGATTTTAAGAAATATACAGCTACCAATTAAATTAAATTAATTAAGTAATTAAATAATAGTTAAAAGTTAATCCACTAAAGCCAACTAAAAGATTCTCTGCTAGATAAAAAAAAGTGGCTTTGAATGTAGATGTGGAGGGGTTGTTCTAAAAAACTTGAATGGATTGTGTACCTAGATATGTAAGGGTATGTAAGGGCAAGGTGTGAGTGCAGAGATGATGTTTGATAGGCCTGATAGGAAAAGGAAGAATTGCTGCACCAACTCCACATTGTGAAAAAAGAAAAATTAAAGTTATAATTTAAAAATTAAACAGAAAGATAATTTAAATACAGCCCAAATATTATTTACTATCAATATGAAATATACACAAAAACTGTTATTTTAATAAATTAAATCCTCATTAAAGGCTGTGTAGAGTTAGTTCTCCTACCTGATTTTGTTATTTTGCTGCTGTAAACCACCTGTCTCTGGATTGAACCCTATATTAAGAACGGGCTTCGTTAACCACAACCCTTTTTGCATTGCATATTTGGATACAATTTGCATTGGCTATTATGTATTTAATAGTTATCACTGTGTGTGACCAGAATTTGGGACTCAGTGAGATTTAGTTGCTAATTCAAATGTCACCCCCCTCATACTTGTAATGTCAGAGGATCTAAATGTACAGTATCAGCCTGCAATATTATGAGACTACACATCTTAAGCTCCAATTACTACTTCCTGCCATCTGTGTACGAGTATCTCATCTAATTTTCTGAGTGTAACCAAGTTGAGTTATGTAACTTAAAGTTACCATATAGCATCATTGTATACAACACATACTTAAGTCATAAATGTAAGTGATATTAATACTGAATGCCAAAAAATACAGTATCTTTGCTGCTGTAGAAATATGCTATCACTAAATCAAGTTATCAAATCAAATATTCCATTTCTTACAGAAAAATTACCTTTTTTGTTTATTGTAACATAAAATAAATTGGAGTTTAACATACCTATAGCAATGAAAGTTATTGAATCACGGAAACTGTCGAATAGAAAATGTAATGAAGTAACTGTGTAGATTCCACTGTATACCATAGCAATACCAGTTATTAACCACCATTCTTTGCTTGACGATAGACTGAATATTGTAGGTGGCAGCGGGCAGCCGTCGCCGGGAAGATGATACGAACTACGATGACGTCAACATGGACATGAGTGAGGTAAATTACACACTTAAAAAATATTAAAAATGCATTGTATTTGATTAGAGAAATTTGTAATTTTGATTTTGGACCGAAATACTTTACGAAGTGAGAAAAAATACCTACATAATTATGTATTGATCTAACATGACCGGTTAATTTACTTATGTTTATTATATCTCACAAAAATATCGAAGAATTTAGTCATCAACCCAAGATAGGTTAAAAAAGTGTTATTTTATTATTGCGAAAAATAAAAAGCACAATTTTGTAATTTGTTTTATTAAAACAACACTTGCATTTCGTGATTTTTCGTTAATAAACTAAAAAAAATCTAAAACAAAAATTGGCAGAAGTAATTTAAAATTGTATATCCTCAAACGTCTTAATTGTTTTCAACAATGATATTAACACTTTTATTATTTTGTATGGTTACCCAATTTGTAAATTGACACAAAAGCAAAAGTCAAAAATCCGTTGGGCATTGCTGAGCTACAGAAATGGATGTCACCGATAGTATGCCTTGTCTACGAAACTTCTCGAAACGTGAGTATCTAGGTTTAAGACAACAAAAAACACGACGTTTATACTATTACTTACGATATGAAATTGTTTTTGTTGTTTTAAAACTACTTATTTTTTCTTTGGTTTTAATAGATTTTAGGGTTGTAATTTTTGTAATGTCGTTAATTATATTCGACTACAAAACTATAAAGTTTAAGGTAATTGACATTGCTGTGTCCGTGGTCTTTGGTAACCGCTTAGCCAAAATCTGAAATAGATTAGCTGTCTGCAGAAAAAAATACCTAAGAAAGAATGTACTAAATGCTAACATTAGAGAGGTTAATTTAGTTAGTATCAAACAACTTTAATACGACAATGACTTAGTCATTTTATTGTTGGGTGTCCGTTGTATTTATCCATTACAAATCAGTGACAAGGCAGTAGACATCATTATTATCACGTTAGTGTGCTGCGATGATAACGTGTTCAATGACAGTTTCTCACACGAATATAATGAAATGTGGAAGTTTTTTTTGTTAGATTTGTGGTTATTGGTTTTTCAATTTAATAGTTTATTTTTAAGAATTAGAAAATGGTGTTTTTTTTTAAAGTATGGCTTTAAAGCCAATCTTTTGAAAAAGCGATTACACTTAAAAAAAACACAATCCAACAAAACCAGTGTTATTATTTTTTCTGACAAAGTCGCACAGAGTGGGTATATGATCTCATAGAAGCGTTAGTCCGCAGAGTTTCTCGACAAATCTTCTCAGCGGGTCTCGATTCCGATCCATTAGTAGATGTACCTGTAAAGGCAACTGTGCAGTTGTTAACAAATCCCATCCCGTTGGACTGAACCCGTTCCCATCCTGGTTAAGCTCGAAAAGCGTCAAGGCTACCATTCCTCCATCCCCAAACCTAACCAAGTATCTTTCTTAGAGGCCTAATTATAACTTGTCAAATGTATAGGTATTTTTTTTTATTTTTTTTTTTTTATTGCATAGATGGGTGGACGAGCTCACAGCCCACCTGGTGTTAAGTGGTTACTGGAGCCCATAGACATCTACAACGTAAATGCGCCACACACCTTGAGATATAGTTCTAAGGTCTCAGTATAGTCATATATGTAGATACGAACAAACCACTTAACCTAACACGCTCACGAAAGGCAACCACGAAGGAGGAACAGCATAATATTAAAATTTTAAATTCGTAAATATCATGCCTAAAAGGGCGTATACACAATTCGCTCGACCTCAACGAGTTTCGTAAACCCAAAAACGAAGAAGGGCTTAAAAATCAGCAATACTGAAAAAAAAGAAGGAGAAAAGTCAAGTCAAGTATGCATAAAGAAGTTTTGCTTTCAGAAAATTTAATCACCAAGGTTTTAATCAAATTAAAGGTCAAGTCTCATAAAAAAAAGAGTCTAATCAAACAAATTACAGAATGCACAGCTTAGTATATAATTAATAATAATATATTAACTCGATGGTCATAGCATTCACGGGGATTTTCGAGTAAGAAAAAAATACTTACTATGTCCACCACTAACTTCCTTGCGTCGATAACCCTCAATGCTGAGGGTTGTGGATTCATGAGGCCCTGCACGGCAGTGTTTTTGGAAGAGATTTAGTTCTTCGAGGTTGCTGAAAAGCCTTATTTGGGTCTGGATAATTAACCGCCGCCAAACATTCTGAGTTGACTGTTTTACGGTGGAAAGTTCGAACTCCAACTCAACCCTCTTTTCTCATCCGGGCTTGGGACCGGCATTGGCATAATTACCACAACTACTAACTATTAAATCAGTTGACTTATTACCTCCGATGCGATAGTAGTAAGTTTTATTGGAACGGACTTAGTGTACAGACTAAGCAAATAAAATAGATATAAAAATAGATTCCGAGGTCTAAACTAAAAACAAAAAAATTCCAAAATCCTGTAGATCTACAGTAAATGCTGTAGGGTTCGCTACACTGCACGCACCTTAGTGAAATGCGATACAAATAAAAGAAATACATAATTTCGAAGAAGGCTTTGACTGCGCCCTTGCTCGCCCACCTGTCCTGGTGAAACTGGAAAGGCCTCCGGTCCACCAGTAATCCTTCAATCATAGAAAAAATAAGGCCCTTATAAAAGTCGACGGTTACTATTGTAAAAAAAAACCGCCTTATATAAACTAACAACAATTTCCTCTGCAAATTTTACGAGTTTACGGCTCTTCAGTTGTTAAGTGATCACTGGGGCTCATTGACGTAACACAATTGTCGTCACCTCGGAAAATTTTGAAGTCGTTAATTTTATTTCAATAATGGCTTTCCTATCGATTCGATCGGTCACAACAGCGCTAGGTACCGATTTTATAAATACAATATCGCACTGTTAGAATTGAAATGCCTTAACTAACATTTTTAAGAAAATGTGTTTTATACTTTGATGACTTATAAACGGTAAGTATCAGTTAATAAAAATAAATTAAATTTTTTTTAAACTAGATTTTAACGTTAATCTAGAAAAGGAAAAACTACACTATCTGCCTCTTTTAAATGAAGCGCATACCTTAAACTTAAAGGTATGGGCTTTAATGCATAAAGTATTAAAATCGAAACTGAAAAATTAAATTTTGTAGCGTTTACAAAAAAACAAGAATTTTGGATTATGCCATTTCAATTCTAAAGATTCGATACGTATTATTTATAAAGATAAATATTCAAACACACACAACAACATCATGGGATCGCGAAACCGCACGGACATCCGTCTCTTTCTGTCGCGAAACAGTTCAATTGTCAGGGTTCGAAGTGTGAGGAAATAGCAATTGAGATTCGACCCTATGTCTGTGAGTGGATGGTGGCATTCACCTTGCATTGGTTACCTACAGATTGATTTGAATATAATCGTCTCCTTCAAAGAATACGGTTCAAAACCTGCATTAAATAAAGGTTAATAGTTAACCTGTTATTTATCTAAGATGTCGTTCCGAAGAGTTTTGTGACTGCCGATGGAATACAAAGTCAATAATTCGTTTTTCTGATTTACCAATCATTGTCCAAAAGTCAGATTGCCGCCTTTGATGATAGACGACTCATCTGTACTAATATATAAATCTACAGTGGTTTTTTAGATGTTCCGTTATAACTACTGAACCATGCATCCGATTGACTTGAAACTTGGTATCCATGTAGAAAATACATGTGCTTAATGGATAGGCTAATATGTATATGAGCGTTAGACTCCCTAATAATAATGTTAATTTTAAATTCCCAGCGAAGCGGGCGAGTACGGCTAGTCATTAATATTATTATCTGATTTAATTGTATATTCCTAAGAAAAAAAATCGATTATTTCTCTTCTCAGAAATCAGACTAATATAACACGGGCGAGGTGCTGGGTGGAATTCAATGTAATTCCAAAGGTTCAAAGCTTAATGCTCCTTGTCGCAGGACTCGCAGGCCGGGGAGTCGGAGCCCGAGCTGCCCCCAGTCGAGCCACGCTCATCGACGAACTCCAAAAGGGAAGAAAGACACAGTTCAAGTGAGTTTCTTATTTACAAAAACTTGATTGTAAATACAAGGTGAATAACGCGAAGAAGGGCAGTAACATTCACTGATTGACTTCCACGGTGTAGGAATAATAACATCTTGTAATAAAAATCAAACCCCCAAAATTATAATTTGCATAATTACTGGTGGTAGGACGTCTTGTGAGTCCGCACGGGTAGGTACCACCGCCCCGCCTATTTCTGCCGTGAAGCAGTAATGCGTTTCGGTTTGAAGGGTGGGATAGCTGTTGTAACTATACTGAGACCTTGGAACTCATATCTCAAGGTAGGTGGCGGCATTTACGTTGTAGATGTCTATGGGCCCCGGTAACCAATTAACACCAGGTGGGCCTTGAACTCGTTCAATTTTAACGAAGAAGTGGATGGGATCAATTTGTCCCTAGCCGGCTTCAATTGGGCCGGGTTGGAGGGGCGTTAGTGGTGGTACTACCGCCCCTTCAACCCATTAGTAAAGTTCAGCGCGTTGTCCGGACGATCGGAATCTCATAAAGTATTGAAATAGAAAAAAGGAGGCACACAAGCTATAATATTATTTATCTTTTCTAGACACGGAATGAATATAGAGACTGTAATGTAATTGTTCCCGTTACCAAGATTCCTATTAAGAAACCCGCATTTAACGCTAAATCTAAGATACTGGCTGAAATGCACTAACAATAATTTCGTTTTGTTCAGATGAGAGTCGCGAACGCGCGCGCTCCCGAGACAAGGACAGGGAGCGCGGGAGGGACAGAGACAGGGAGAGAGCGCGGCGCGACGGGCGGGGGGAGCGCGGGAGGGACAGGTACTGCACTACAACACTGAGCTTGCTACGTTTCAATTGCGATATTCTGAATACTAGTGGTCCCCCGGTTTTTGAAGGGTGGGGCAGCCGTTGTAACTATACTTGAGACCTTAGAACTTATATCTCAAGGTGGGTGGCGCATTTGCGTTGTAAATGTCTATGGGCTCCAGTAACTACTTAACACCAGGTGGGCTGTGAGCTCGTCCACCCATCTAAGCAATAAATAAAAAAAGTCGAAATTCGACTATAATCAATTGAAATTATAAGTTTGAACATTATTATACTTCTATAATCACAAGTTTCACCGAGACTATACTATAGACAAATTACATTAAAAACAATGTTGATCTATTCTCAATCTGACCACAGACTTTAAACGTTAATAAATGTTGGACTATAAATAAAGAGTATATCTGCGTAATGTTTTTTTTTTATTAATTTAATGTATGTATTCTTTATAGATAATTTTTAAAAAAAATTAGCATTCTTTACTCCTTATACACTGTGGGAAATTTCATACTCCTTCGTCCTTGCAATTTTGGTAAAAAGGGGTATAAAGTTTTTTCTTCACGTATTTAATATATTGATGACGAACAAAATGAGCTAAGTAAATCTGGTTTATATAAGAAGCAATTCGTGTAACGGTTGAAACTCAATTGACAGATCAGAGAGAGACCGCCGACGCAGCCGCGACAGCTTGTCGAGGCGAGGCCTGCTGGGAGACAAGCCCGACGACAGTAAGGTGGGTGCAAGCCGCCAGTGTCGCGGGGTTGCTGATCAAAACACATCCGGTATTCCGAAATCAAGCATAGCAAAGAGAACAATAGATCATTATCAAGATTTTTTCTATTTAAAATTATGTATATCATTCCCATATTTTGTTGCGGTTGAGTCTAGAACAAAATACATATTTAATTTTAAGATTCTTAATTGTAACTAGCGACCCGCCCTCGCTTCGTTTCGGAAACATTAAATGTTATTATTGATAGCTGAATCCATCGATGTTATGTTATTGTCGTACCGCGGGTAACATCGCGGGACTCAGTAACGCGACGCCGCGGGGCGAAGTTGGTCTAAACAAAGTAGCCTAAGCTATTTCTTATTTCATCAGCTACCTATCAGTGAAAGTCTCGTCAAAATCCGTCCAGCCGTTCGAGATATTAGGCGGAACAAACAGACAGAAAAACAGACAAATTAAAAAAAATAATGTTATATGTACTGTGGTATACATACTTACGTATTTAGTAAAAAGCGGTTATTTTATTATTACAAACAGACACTCCAATTTTATTTATTTGTATAGATTACAATAGTCTTCTTTCACATCTTCTAAATTAATGATTAATATGATTAAATGTTATGACAAAAGGTATATAATAATCAATTTTATTGTACAGGTGCCAGCCTTGATGGACCTGAAGCCGTTTGGTGGCACGTCGCCCCCGGGACACGACCTCAAGAGGTCGCACGACGCCAGGGACGCCGCCTCGCCCCGGTTAGTGTTGCCAGCAGTCTGCCCGTGTGGCCCCACACAACCCCTTATTTAACAAATCCATCATGCTTAATTTTTTTCAATATTTCCACTCCTTTTAGTACATAATATACATATATAATAAGTATTTTTACAATTAGAAAACTGAACACAAATTTATTAAAATAATTAAATTTTATTAAATGCACAGTTGAGACAATGTGCAGATACGCGATATTAATCATACACTGTACGAATTATTATATGAATTTCGCAGTAGAGAAATAGTCTGTAGGAAGTAACAGCGTTATGGGGGCAGACTTGTGTTACAACATGAGTGGCCGCTATAGGGGTCTACAGTATAAACATGCAATGTTTTGTATGTAATAACATCAGGGGGCAATGAATGCACCAAAGGTCACGCACTGTTAACTGGTTACCGGAACCCACAAGTACTGCGTCAATGAGACAACAGTCTCTGGAATTCGTTGCCATCAGCGGTCTTCCCCTACAACTGCGATATTGGGTTATTCAAGAAAAGAGCATATTCTTACCTGAAGGGTAGGCAATGCACTGGCGTAAACGCTGGTGACCGTGGGCGGCGGTGAATCACTTACCATCAGGTGACCCGTCTTGCTCGTTTGCCTCTTAGTTGTTATAAAAAAAAAAAAAAAACTGGTTTCAATTTAATGAAAACAAAGAGCAGAGTCATCAATTGTAACATTTGATGACTCTGCAGTGGAAATGGGCAGCTCCACTAACTCTGTTGATTTGCAAACTATTCCCATCATTAGTACTTCAAAGTCAGTGGTGAGCCCGATAAAAAAATAGCTCCCGAGCTGTGTATCCCATCTGCAAGCTGTCCGATTGTGACTACATATCGACGCTTAAAAGGCAAACGTGACTAAGCGACAATAACTGCTTTGTACATAAATGACAGGCCATAGCCATATTCGATGCGCAAAAAAATATATATTTCTAGGTCTATTAAAATCATTTCAATCCTACAGCTAGACTCGTTAAAATAGAATTTTTTTCAGGTATTTCAACTTTAAATTAGTCTACTGTAAAGTGCACGCATTGTCGCTTAGTCACGTTTGCCTTTCAAGCGTCGATATGACATGCTTCGGGAGACCAAAGTCACGCATCGGTAGCTTTTGACTAACAGCTGAAGAAACTTATCCTGTAAGGTCCTAAAATGAAAGGTTAAAATTTAAGGTTCGTTGACCGCGACCGCCGCGACAAAGACCGCGAGAGGGAGAGGGAGAGAGAGAGGGACAGGCACAGCCGGAGGTCCGAGGAGAAGAGGTCAGGACAAAACATTTACACTCGATCGTTAACCAATTAATTTGACCAGTAATCTACCGATGTATTCACTGTAATTTTGCACTGTGTGGTGTGGTACAGCCAGCTGGTACAGTCGCGATGTGGCCCTAAACACGTCATTACGGATCCTCCCGATCCATTAACGGAGCTTTTAGGTACCTCAAGCACCGGTCACCGTCCTCGTCGAGGGTCGACGAGTAAATTAACCCACAGACACAGCACACTGAGTTTCTCGCCGGATCTTCTCAGTAGGTCGCGCTACCGATCCGGTGGTAGATTCTGCGAGGCATTGTTCTTGCTAGGGACAGTGTTAGCAACACTCCGATTTGACCCCCGTGAGCTTAGCTACACGTCAACTAAAAGCTGAAATAGCCTCTCAAGGCTATCAGCAAAGGTATGAAAAAATAAGATGTTTTTTTTTATTTATTGCTTAGACGAGTGGACGAGCTCACAGCTCACCTGGTGTTAAGTGATTATTGGAGCCCATAGACATCTACAACGTAAATGCGCCACCCACCTTGAGATATAAGTTCTAAGATCTCAGTATAGTTACAGCGGCTGTGTACACTGTGTTGCAGGTCGTCGAGCGCGCGCCACCCGGAGCGGCGGGAGCGCTCCCGGTCGCGCGGCCCCGCCTCCTCGCACGCCCCCAGGTAACCACAGTACATCATAGAGTATAAACTAGTGAAATCCAGTCACACTTCATTCTTACTATGAAGGTAGTGAAATAAATACCTTCGGATTTGTTAGGGCCGATAAAAATTATAATTTGCGTAATTATTGCTGACTAGCTGACCCGGCAGACTTCATAGTGCCTCAATCGATAAATAAAATACCTAAACTTTTGTATAAAATAAACTTAAACAAACAAAAGGAATGCGTCCGACGGGGGACACATCAAAGGAAAAACAAAATTGTTATTTTTATTTAATTCCGAGCATTTTCCTATTTATCAAACCCTTTAAACCTTCTCTGGACTTCCACAAATAATTCAAAACCAAAATTAGCCAAATCGGTCTAGCCGTTCTCGAGTTTTAGCGAGACTAACATTTTTATACATAGAGATATAACGTCTTGTGAGCGTTTAGAGGAAGAGATAGTCTCAAGAAGACATGGATGGATTGCGTGAAAAACGATGTGTGTAAGAGAGGAATGAGCTAAGAAAATTGTATTTGATAGAGGAGTATGGAAGGTAAAAACATGTTGCGCCGACCCCAGGTGACTGGGAGAAGGGCAGGAGAATGATGATGAGGGCGTATTGTGAGCCCGCACGAGTAGGTGGTAACTACCACCTAACTGCCTAATTTGCCATGTAAGCAGTAATATGTTTTGGGCGGCGGTATTAACGTGGTTGATTCCTATGAGTTCATCCAACTAACCAATAAAAAAAAAGACGTTAAAAGCAAAAAAATCTGAAACATCAACTGTATTAATTTAATTGCATAAATTGGGAACGAGCCACCATTGTGTACCTGTATTCTAACCTTAACTAAGTAAAACTTCAACCAATTATTTGTTCTTTACAGCAATAGTTCGAGTGAAAGACGAGAGTCTGTGTCGATTCCACCTCCAAACGAGTTCAGGTCTACATCTTACAAAGTCAATAAGAAACTTGAAGTTATGGAGAAAATGGGTAAGTGTATAACAGCAGTATAGTTGTTCAAAAATAATTAATACAATCTATACATGCAATCTATATATCGACGCTTGAAAGGCAAACGTGACTAAGCGGCAATGCGTGAACTTTATAGTAGACTAATTTAAAGTTGAAATACCTGAAAACATAATTTATTTTAACGAAACTAGCTGTAGTAGAATCTAGCTAGTAGCTGCAGGATTGAAATGATTTTAATAGACCTAGAAATATATATTTTTTGCACTCGAATATGGTTATTGCCTATCATTTATGTATAAAGTAGTTATTGTCGCTTAGTCACGTTTGCCTTTCAAGCGTCGATATGCATATGAAGCAAAAACTTTTTACCCTTTTTACAAAAATTGCGCGGACGGAGGAGTATCGAATTTTCCACACTTATAGAGAATATAGAGAAGAGGTGCAGAATGCTGTTTTTTTTTTTAAATTATGGATTAAAAATATATTAAATCAATAAAGAAAACATTACACACACTACCATGTATTTGACACACACATATGCTCTTTGTTTATTGTCAATTTTTTTTTTATTAATTAAAATCTGTAGTCAAATTGAGAATAGGTTAGTATTGTTTATCTTTAATATTACGAGTATTTGTCTATAGTGTAGTCTTGGCGAAATCTGTAACAATAGGACCATAATAATATTGAAACTTATAATTCAAATTAATTATAGTCGAATTTCGACTACTACGGGACCACTAGTTTAAATTATAACATGTGAAATTGTTAGAAAATATTGATAGACAGTGAAATAGTAAATAACAGAAATGGACATAGCATTAAAGTCCAGAGAGTGCTATATCGGAGTTATCCAACAATATCTCAGAACATTCTCCACAAACATTTTGTATAACTGTGTCTGTATACACTATTTTGCTGTGGTTAGAAAATTTACTTCGATATCCTAAAAATCGCAGAGTACATTTTGTGGATCGATAATTTAATTTTGTTATCTGTGTTCCACTTTGTAAAGAGGTGTGACTGGATTTTTTGGCGGGAACGCGAGGAGTGAAGTTGTGTGATTGTTATTGTTTCTTCAGGTTTAAATGTGTAATAACGGTGGTTTATTAACTGTTTAATATCTGTGAAAGTGCACAAATGTACGAAAATGAAACAAAGCCGCCGGACGTAACTTCACGCGATCCTCCAAAAAGTTCACTGAAAAAATCTCAGTAAATGACCACTATTTTACTGAGATTATATTTCATCCCATCTCATCTCATTTCATTTAATTTTATCCCAGTTGATTAATATCTCAAATTAATCATTTTCATTTCATTTCATTTCATTTTTCATAAAAATAAGAATTTGAATTAAAATAAGACATGACTTAAAGGTCTTAGTTACTAGGTCATAAAATCCCTTAAAAAAAATAAAGAGATGAGACTAAGTTATGTAACTTTGCAGGTCTACAGATCAAGCGCCCCGACGGCACGATGGCGACGGCGCGCGAGCTGCGGGCCGGTCTGCCAGCCGACACGCAGGCCTCCAGGGTGCTCGACCAGGTAACCGTGACCCCAGTGAGTGTCTGTCCAGCCTCGTCTCAGTCTATACGGTTGGCAGTGAGCAACCGTAGAAATTATCTATAAAAAAATAATTAAGTCATGTTTCATTAGTGTTAGATAAAGAGACCATTAATTTGTAAAAAAAAAATGTCTATTTAATGTGTACCCAAAAATTGTATTCCAACATTTTCTTTGCGGGATAGCATTTAAGAATTCCCCCTCAACCTTGACCGAAAACATAAACCACTGATATGGCTTTGTTCACATAACAATCATTTCTAATCCAATGCCTTATCAAGCTCTACACTAGTCAAACTTGTTAGATGCTCTATGAGGATTCAAGTTTTCTCTATAGTGACCTTTTCATATATACAAACACCACACTATATATATTATTGCACTTGATAGATGAACTTGCTCAAGGTTGTTACGTGGTTACCTAGGGCTTGAACGAAATAGAATTCTCAATTATATTGTATCATGGCTGTCTCACTCTGAATCGAAACACATTACCACTCCGCTGTAGAAGTCAGTCGGGACTGTGGTACCAACTATGGTTTTGTCGCAGTGAAATGATACCACCAATTACAATTTTATATTTACTTAAATAGCGATTAAGTACAAATGTTAATGGCGGAGCACCAGCGTATGTTTTGTCTCGAACTCAACAGAATGAAAAACATTTTGCAAGTATCGTCGAATATTATATATAGTGCGATGCTCCAGCACAGGGCCGTACTCAGCGCAGGGGCGCACTCAGACTCGCTACAGACTCATTCTGGCGGGCTGGGAATAAGAATGCTATTGCAGACCAGACCATGCAGCCCCATTATCTTGTCATTCTATGATTACTTTTTTGTCTAGGTACAAAAACGCAAGCTCCTCTGGGCAAACAAGAGTAAGGCGGACACGGCAGAGGCGACCAAGTGGACGGGCACCAGGTTCGCGCAGGACGCTGACGGCAAACAAGTCTCCAAGTTCATGAGGCTCATGGGCATCAAGGAACCTGGTGAGGACCACTTAGAAAACGTTATTATTGTTTACGACAAAAGGAAAGGTTACCTTAGTTACTTTTTGAAATGCTGACATAATGGAGTTCTTTATTACCTAGACGGATAAACGACTCACGGTCTGCCTGACGACAAGTGCCCTTAGAGTCCATAGATATTCCATCGTAATGTCACCACTCGTTATGAGGTTGAAGTTTCAAGTGTTGCAGCTCTCTCTTCTCTTACATTTAATGTAGACTGCTTGGCCCGAGATAAGCAGAACAGTGGTACTTACACGTTCCAGGTTCGAGTGATATGCCTCTGCCTTTGTTTAAGTCCCGCAGCAAACTAATTGTTCTAAGCAATTACATACCTACACTTATTCACGAGCGGCTTAATAATGTTCCGTTTCTTTCTTCTTAATCATATACTTCATTGCTGAAGGTCGTGTCCCTGAAAGGCCTTCGTGGCTCTTTGTACCATCAGCTTCCGTTTCGTTCATTAATTAATTTATTTTAATAATGTTCCATAACTCAAAAACCATACACTTATACTAGGTGTAGGATATACGACAAAGGGAAAAGATCTTCCACCAGGCGGGTGATATTGCTCTGTAGACCGATGGCCCGAATGTTGTTGTTCAGAACTTGTATATATGCGCTTTATCTTGAAAATGTCGTAAGCGAGATTCAGGCATCTGTCAAATATCTTGCGTTGTATGATCGCTACCCGCCGCACTAGGTGCATCATACGCTTGTCTACTTAGTCACAGCAATAAAATAGAAACAATAATTTTATAATATAATCATTACATCATCATTTTCAGCTGCGGCTCCACCGCCAGCAGCCCCGAGCAAGGAAGTGGACCCCATCAAGAAACAGGAGGAACTGTTCCAAGCCATGCAAGCGCAGTACGAGGTGGCCCGCGCCACCACGCACACCATGAGAGGAGTCGGGCTTGGCTTCCAGAGGGGACAATTCTGAACTGTTACTAAAAAAGTTAAATGTGGAGTTGGTGTCTGTTCCGAATGATGTGATCGCTGTCTCCGCGCAATTAGGGTCCTCGGCTGTGAGGTTCCCAGAGACCGGTGCAGTCGGATCTTACATAGCAAGTGGCATTGATGTTTGTGAAGTGATAAATCTACAACGTTAGTGTTGTGCTATCAGTTTGTGTTAATTCTGCGGTGTTAATATAACTATTGGATCCTCTCTGCATATCGACAGAAGAATCATTGAATAAAATCAACGAATTCTACATATGAAACAAGGCTTCCAACGGACACGATGCTGTTAGTATTGTATATATACCAAATGTGGATTTTTAAGGATAGTTATAATGGATAGTTTTTGTTTTTTTGTTTTTTTTTTTTATAATATTACTATGTAGAAGATTGTAAAATCAATTTTCGTTATGATTTATAAAGCTGTGAATGTAATAAGTCGACATTTTCAAGTAATAACATTGTGATTCAGCCTTTTCTAAATACATATAATTTACAACATTATTCCTTGCATGTGTCGATGTTAATGTTAAGCGTCATAGGGCTCGCTCATGCAGTAATTTCAACACAAACAATTTTAGAACTAGATATATGAATAATAAAATTAACGCATTGACTGTCGTGTGGGTCACCGGTGCCCTACGGGGCGCATTGAAGTAATTCTGTCGATTTCTGTTACTAAGGCGCTAGGATTGCCTAACTTTGGCTACTTTAGATTTTGTTAATGTATGTTTTAGTATTTTAGGTCTTTTAGAAATGGATTCAATCTCAGTACCTTTGGATTCGTGTTTTCCAGAGTTTACTAGATATTCTGATGGGGTCTGGTGACCTATATTGCTGTCAAAGGATTAAATAATAAATATAATGTGATAATTATTTTTGTTATAATTTAGAATTTTGTAAATCTGTCTGATCTTAAGGTAATGGAAGGCCAGTTACGAGGCCTTTTAGACCACGTTGCTAACATAATACGGTCTTTAAAAAACTCAAGCTCGCAAATGTCGCAGGCAGCGCAGTACTGGCATTCATTGCAAAGCTTTCGAAGCCACACATGTCCTAAGCTCTTATCACGATTGTTCGACTAAATCTAAACGGTCTTATTCTTGCTCACCCCACGACATCAGACTGTGAGACGGTAAGTGTGGTCAAGTCCAGGCGATTGGCTCCAGAGCATACTTATTTTGCATTTAGACTTGACGCCGCGTGGTCTACCGATTTGCCTGTGTGCAGAGATTGTTCAATCGACACTAGTCGATGTTTCAATAGATAATTAAACTGTCGATTAATTCTTTACCTAAGAGACATTAGGTCGGATATCCACAATATCAAATTGGTATTAGTTCTAGATATGTAACCATTTGTAGGATAACGTTTCTTCAAAGAATTTATCTAGAAAATTGTAGGTTAGAGGTAGATTCGACCTCACGTGTCTCAGCAGTGTCCCGGGACCACACGCCGCCCGGGAAATGGCAGGACTGGAACTCCACGTTCAGTGCTGAGCCCAGGACATCGCTGAGCAAGTTCTGACCCGGGCAATCAATCATATGTCTAGTTACACAAAACATTTGTAACGGTTCAAATGTCAGATTTCGTTTGGTAAATCGAACATTTAATGCAGGCAACATTTGAAATTGCAACACAAGATTGCCAATGTAATGAATATATTTCTATTTGTGGTAAATTTTGAAGACACTGATGGCGTCGAAAATGTTTTTAATATTTAAAAAAAAAATCTGTAAATAATGATTGTAGTGTTACATTAAAAATGTATTAATAAAAGAGATATTTTGATTAAAAAGTAGATAGAAATATCTTTGAAAATAATTGTATATTAATGTTATAGTTTACACGTGTCAAGTATATATATTTAACTCTGAAAATTAGTCGCTTTATTGACCTATGTGAAATTTGAGCTCGAAACTAGTTTTTTTTTAAATTAAGCTTTTAGTATGGGTTGATTGGTTTCATAACACACCTCCCCGAAGGTCATGGGTTCAAGATCAGAGTTCGGATATTAAATTTTTTTTTTTCATTTCTCTTCAACTATTGAGGTACGCCATGCGTTACGGCTTATTATTCAAATTAACCCACTCCAATACCCGAGAGATTTACGCCTTTAAAAATTTTCCCGTTGTAAGGTAAAGGTTCTCAGAGCGGTCGACGAGGGTAGTTGCTTACTGACGCAAAACAAAAGACTGCCGATAGAAAATACATACTCTTCCTGATAATGTACACAGCAGGCAATGTAATGCAAAATGAGATCTGTCATGTGCGTCTGTCGGTTACTCACCGTCAGAAGAGTGGCGCTTGTAGGAGTTCACTTCGCTTTAGCTTGCGGGTTCAGTTTCAAAAACAGCATATATACAAGTTCCGAAAAACACTGGGACCGTCGGTCTACCGAGCAATATTTAACCAGCTCGGTGGAAGATCTTCCTTTCGTCTTTTAAGCCTTCCACCGGTTCATCAATAAACCTTTTGGAAATGATAGATTGAATGTGTCATTTGTTTGGACTTCACGACCTTTCCTTGTACTTGGCGCCGGTACCCCTGAAGGGTAGTTAGTATATTGTACGAAATGCAAAGTATTGTAATATTAATTCTAGACGAACGGAGAAAGTCTAGGATCTTTGTCTATGTTCCTAAATCTAGGTTTATGTGCAAAATGTATTCCGTTCTCAGATGCACTTGTAAATTTGTTTTGTTTAAGTTGTGAATAAATGATTTAAAATTATAACGTTTTTGTGAAATTACCAATTTTCCTAATAGAAAAGATTACAATAGTAGGTCAATGATTCGTACGAGTTAGTTTTAGGGTACTGTCATGGTAGGCAGCGGCTTGGCTCTGCCCCCTAGCATTGCTGAAGTCCATGGGCGACGGAAACCACTCACCACCAGATAGGTCGTATGCTCGTCTGCCTACAAGCGCAATAAGAGAAAAGCTCGATGCATAGTGGCACTCTTAAAAAATTAAGTGTTTAATCTATGCTCTTAAAAACGAACTACACAAAATTGTGAGCATTTTTAAATTAAGCATACTCATTAAATAAAAAAATTATTAGCTGCTGGTGACCAGCCCCGGCTTAAGCAAGAATTGATCAGAATGTTTACTAAAAGTACACTTAAACAATTGTGGATGCAATATTATTATTATTTTGTCAGAAGGAAATCACTGGACTTCCGCCCATCTACTGGGAATGGAGGGCGGGGCATGTCGGAGTTGAACCGACTAAAACCTCCTGTCGCTCAACAACCAGCATCCAAACCTCGCATGAGACAGAACTCATGAAAAGGCAAAGGGGGGGAAGTGAAGCGCTTAGTGCGGAGCACATCTCTCCCATCACCCTCCCCCTGGATGCAATAATTATATTACTTTTTTCCCAAATTTGATATATACAGCTTTATGTGTACTAGTCACGAAAACTTAAAAATATGTATTACACAAACCGTAACGCTAATAAAATAATAAGTAATGTATAGATACTAACAAACATAAATTCTCAAAACATAAAAAGTAAACAACTAAACTTTTACTTTTATTCATATAATAAATTATTTTAGTGTTCAAGGCGACTCCCTTACCTCCTGTAGTAAATAGAAATCGAAAGGACAAACCCTAAATCCATACAAACTTGGGCCTAGCGTTACAGTGCTAGAATTTGGGCATAAATTACAATACCTAAGAAGGTTTCATGAGCCCAATTTTCAGGTCTCCCAGCAATGACCAAATTGGTAAAATCAAACAATGTTTACATTTCAGGTTATGTTTATTGTTAGAGTTATTTTAATAACAAACGATATTTTTGAGGCTGTTTTCTACGAACCACATGTAGTGAAAGAACTTGAAGCTTATCACGATAAGGTTTTAGGTAGGTACATAACAAGCGTAGGTGGTGTCATCAGATTTATTTGGTTGATCTTACTGAAAACCAACTGAACTAAGGCCCACTTAAATCTGCTGGCATTTGTTAATATTGTATCTACTAGGGGATTTGATACAATATGTTAAAATAAAAAAACTAACTGTGGTAAATGGTTTTAATCATCATCTTCGTTACGATTATCGTAGTATAACAGTACGGAATCTAAAAATTGTGCAGGAGGCAACTGACTACCCTGATGCCGTGCCCAACGAAGATACCATATTATGCTCATGGTGTGGGCACAGCAACCAACCGTTCTTTTGCCAACGATACATGTGCAATAATATTGGATTATAGCATCCCTTCCACTTAAAGAGCTGTCAAACAATATATACACAAAATAAATTGTTGTGCTAATATGCCTGGATTTTATTCTACCTCTTAATATCCAGGTTGAGTCTGATGTTGACAGCTCTTGTAGGGCAATGTCCAACTCTCTACACACTTCTATGACATATGAGTCATTTTCCCTCACAAACTCCCCATAGTAAGAACGGGCCTGTTTGATTTGGTATGGGCCCAAGGAGACAAGAATAAGCTCGCTGTATGTTAAATTAGGGAACTCACTAACATTATCTCTACTTATATCTATTGATTGGAACTGCGCCCTACGACGATTTACATTATTCCTAATCACATAGTTACTTAGTTACATAAGTCACATAGTTACTTAAGCTGTTTTCCACATACATGTACTGATTAATTTTTTGAATAATTTCCTGAGCATCACTACGATTTGCAACAGGTGGGTGGAAAGCATTTATTAAGGCAGCAGCCACTTCAAAGTGTACCATTATATTTTTTGACGCTCAATTAAAAAAATGTTGGCGAAAAATCTTAAAATCTCGCTTAAATCTGCCATTAACAACTTCTACAACCCATCTACATATTGTAACTATTCGCGATTTATTTGCTTCGAGGGTTGAGAGTTGGGATTCACCCTGTTGCAAAGAAGATGGTACATATGTCCTATAGCCACATTCATTGAGTGAGGGCAAGGCATCCCGGAAGCCCCTGTCCAATATAAATGAATCTCCAGATTCAAAGTACTGTCTGAGAACAGATGCATTTGTAAATTCTTTATTAATTATTTCAGCATCTGAAATTGTCGATGGATAGGGGCCCCAAACATCAATTATGTATGTACAAACAAACAAAAATGGTTTAACTAGAGTTATGTCGGCGTAACCTACAAGACCTCCATAAACAACGCGATAACAACCGTCACATGAACCATCCCTTGTTTTAGGAAGCCATAAGATAACATCTAATGACACAAAGCCCCGTTGTACATTACTATCACACCATTGTTACGTGATAGCAACCGTCACATGAAGCATCCCTTGTTTTAGGAAACCATAGAGATAACATTTAATGATACAAAGCTCCTCTGTACATTACTAACACACCATTGTTTAGCTTAAGAGTATATATAAGCATTAGTTATAATAATAAAATCAGTCTTAAACCATCCTCCGTGTTGTTCACTTGCTTTTTAAAAAGCCTCTCGCCCCTGCCCGCTACCCAACTGTCGCAGTCGGTAACTCGTGAAAAATCGGTACGGTCCAGAAGAATCATTCTAAAGCATCGTCTCCACATCCTCGAGCAAAGAACCTTCAGCGGGCAGCATACGGCAGCAGAAGCAGAGAGGTCCAGCAACACCGTCAAGAGCAACAACGGGAGACGAGAGTCACCATCGCCTTTTATCGGCAATGCTTGTGTAGTAAGTGTAAATTCCACTTATTTCCCGAGAAAAACCTCCCTTTATCCCACATTTCAGACACCAATAGACCCTCTGGGTACTTGTCCTGTACAGTGGTGAACCTTCGATAGAATTCTTAACCGTAATTACAGTCATTTATTAAAATGGCAAGCGGCAGTAAGGCAGGCAACGAATCGTTAGTCGAAGAGAAGGTTGCAATCGAAATTGCATACCCTACTTTATCAATGCTATTACCTACGTATGATGGTAATAGAAAAACACTTAGTTTTTATATCGAAGGTGTAGAGAATGCACTTGATTTAATAGCAAACAAAACGGATCCTAGCATAGCATGCTTAATCCGAAACAAATTAACGGGTAAAGCCGTTGAAGCACTGTCGCAGAGCGGCGGCGCAAAAACATGGCCTGAAATTAAGGCTACACNTTACAGTCACTTATTAAAATGGCAAGCGGCAGTAAGGCAGGCAACGAATCGTTAGTCGAAGAGAAGGTTGCAATCGAAATTGCATACCCTACTTTATCAATGCTATTACCTACGTATGATGGTAATAGAAAAACACTTAGTTTTTATATCGAAGGTGTAGAGAATGCACTTGATTTAATAGCAAACAAAACGGATCCTAGCATAGCATGCTTAATCCGAAACAAATTAACGGGTAAAGCCGTTGAAGCACTGTCGCAGAGCGGCGGCGCAAAAACATGGCCTGAAATTAAGGCTACTTTTATAAAAAGGTTCGGTGAATTCCGAACCGAAATACAGTTAGTCCAAGAGCTCATGACATCAACTAGGGATAACCTATCACTAGAAGCCTTCGGTGACAAAATTCGTCACCTAGCGAGCACCCTCATCCTGATTGACCCAAATAAACGTGAATATTACGAACAAATGGCTCTAATAGCCTTCTTGGAAAAATTAAATCCTATAACAGCGATCATTATAAAGCTGAAAAACATCGAAAACCTAGAGGAAGCTATAATAATAGCTAAACAGGAGGAATTTAAGCTCCGAGCAAAAAAATCGTTAAATAAAGAAATGATAAAACCCTCCACCTCTAACGTAATACCGCAAAGATTTAATCAAAATAAGAGGGAACTACTCAACAAAAATAAACCCTCTTATACAGAAAATCCCAAAAGAAAAATGGTTCACTACCAAAATGAGGCAATAACCGACGAGGAACTTGCCGACATCCTAGAATTAAATGAAGACTGCGATGACGAGGACACGCAGCAGGAAAATTTTCAAATAGATTCAGAAAACGAAAACATAAAGTAGTTTTCATGAACAATGTCAAAACTTACACAAAATTACCTTATATTTATATCAACGAATTAGGAGGCAGATTCCTGATAGATACAGGTGCCTCACAATCATTAATTAGCCCAAAATCGTTAAAAAAAGAGAATAATATTAATTACGAAATAAAAACGGAAACCCATTATATAAGAACAGCTCACGCGACCACTAAGCATAGTAAAGTAGCTTTTATTAATTTACCAGAAAGACTTTTTAATGAAAACATAAATGACAAATTTCTAATCTTCGATTTTGATCCAGACTTTGTAGGATTACTCGGTCTAGACCTATTAGTGCCCCTTAACTGCAAGATAGACATCAAACACATGATGCTTCGCACGGAAAACGCGAACATACCAATTAATGATGATATTAAATCACATACTAAAATAAACCTTAAGACAGAAAAATTAATTAACTTCTTATGCAACGAAAAAGAAGGTCAATACTTCTTAGCTGAAAAAGTGACTAAGAACGGATTGATTTTCCCGGCGGCTTTAGTCACCATAAGATACGGTAACGTCCTAACATCAGTAATCAACGCAACAGACAATGAAATCATTATAAAAAGAAGTTGTCAATTAAATTTACAAAAAATATGTGGAAATACACAAAACAAAGGTCAACAATCGCAAACAACGTTCATTAATAATTTAAAAAATAACAGCCATATAGATTATCTACAAAAAAATAATCTAGAAAGACTCAGAATAGACCACATGAACGATGAAGAAAAACGCGAAATTAAAAAACTCTGCTATAACTATCGTGACATTTTTCATTGTGAGGAAATACCGTTAACATTCACACACGAAATAAAACACAGTCTTAGGCTTACAGACACAAAACCTATATTCATTCGCAACTATAGACAGGCCCCTAAACAAAAAGAGATCAAAAAACAAATAGACCTATTAAAATCTCAAAACATTATAAAAGAAAGCAACTCTCCTTGGTCATGTCCAGTACATTTAGTCCCAAAAAAACTAGATGCATCTGGCGAACAAAAATACCGCTTAGTCATAGATTACAGAAAACTTAACGATAAAACAATAGAAGATAAATACCCATTACCAAATATAGATGACATACTTGACAAACTTGGCCGAGCACAATATTTTACAACATTAGACTTGGCCTCAGGATATCATCAGGTGGAAATGCATCCGGACGATACCGAGAAAACTGCATTCACTATAGACAGAGGGCATTTCGAGTTTTTAAGGATGCCCTTTGGATTAAAAAATGCACCCAGTACATTCCAGAGGTTAATGGATTCTGTACTACGAAACCTAGACAATGTACTCACCTACCTCGATGACGTCATAATTTACTCAACTTCCCTTCAGGAACATATAGAAAATTGTAGGCAAGTTTTCGAACGACTTCGCATCAACAACTTAAAAATACAACTTAACAAGTCCGAATTCCTACAAAAACAAGTTAAATTCTTAGGTCACACTTTAACCGATAAAGGAATTAAGCCTAATGAGGATAAAATAGCGGCAGTAAAAAGATACCCCTTACCCAAAACACAAAAACAAATTAAATCATTCGTAGGATTAATAGGATACTATAGAAAATTCATTCAGGACTTTGCTAATCTCACAAAACCTTTAACGAAATGCCTCAAGAAAAATAGTAAAATTGATATTTCATCCCAATATATAGAAGCATTCGAAAAATGCAAGGAAATGCTAATAAATGCTCCAATACTTCAATACCCTGATTTTGACCAACCCTTCATTCTAACTACAGACGCATCCGACGTAGCCATAGGCGCAGTACTGTCACAAGGAAAAATAGGCTCAGATAACCCCGTAGCCTATGCTTCACGTACACTTTCAGACACAGAGCAAAAATATTCAACCATAGAAAAGGAACTTTTAAGTATAGTTTGGGCAACCAAATACTTTCGTCCTTATTTATATGGTAGACAATTTAAAATCTATACAGACCATAGACCACTCACATGGATCATGTCATTTAAAGATCCAAATTCAAAGTTAACACGCTGGTGCTTAAAACTAGCAGAGTACGACTATGAAGTCATATACAAAAAAGGCAAATTAAACACAAATGCAGACGCCTTATCTAGAGTCCAAATCTTGCATAACAATGAAATTATGGAAAACCCTAACACTAATGATCCTCAACCTAGCACTTCAACATTTGCCACAAATTGGGAAGAACTAGTGAACCTAGATATAGAAACAGCATGGAGCATGCCTTCACCACAAAACCCCATAGCAAATAACACCAACAAAAATACGCAATCCCAGTTAGAAATACACCAATCTCACGAAAGCCTTTCACAATCAGATAAGAAATAATAAAATCCCTGAAACAAACGACGCAATTGACAGACAACTTAAACAATTTTTTATCAGAAAAACACCTGGAGACACGTATAGAGTGGACGATAGGTCAAAAGGTAAAATAATAATCAAAGACGTATGGATACTAATCAACGATACTACGAACCAAATAATACAATTCCTAAAAGAACACACTATTCCAGACAGAATTTTTTACTGTTACTTTTATCACGAAGAATACTACCAGATGTTTATAAATCTATTTTTGATCAACGTGGACCTAAACTTATTAGATGCACTAGTAGAGTCACACTCATCACCAACGTTAACGAGCAAACAGATCTAATAAGAAAACACCATGAAGGAAAAACCATACACAGAGGTATACAAGAAACATATAAGCAATTACATAGAAATTACCACTGGCCAAACATGCTAACTAGCATCCAGAAATTCATTAATAAATGCGACAAATGCCTTAAAAGTAAATACGAACGCAATCCCCTAAAACTACCACTTTCACTAACAGAAACACCTAATAAACCCATGGAACACATGTTTATGGACCTATACAGCAGCGGTGGCACCACCTTCCTAACAATCATTGATAACTTTACAAAATACGCTCAAGCCATACCCGTACCAACAGCANCTTCACGTACACTTTCAGACACAGAGCAAAAATATTCAACCATAGAAAAGGAACTTTTAAGTATAGTTTGGGCAACCAAATACTTTCGTCCTTATTTATACGGTAGAAAATTTAAAATCTATACAGACCATAGACCACTCACATGGATAATGTCACTTAAAGATCCAAATTCAAAGTTAACACGCTGGCGCTTAAAACTAGCAGAGTACGACTATGAAGTCATATACAAAAAAGGCAAATTAAACACAAATGCAGACGCCTTATCTAGAGTCCAAATCTTACATAACAATGAAATTATAGAAAACCCTAACACTAATGACCCTCAACCCAGCACTTCAACATTTGACACAAATTGGGAAGAACTAGTGAACCTAGATCTAGAAACAGCATGGAGCATGCCTTCACCACAAAACCCCATAGCAAATAACACCAACAAAAATATGCAATCCCAGTTAGAAATACACCAATCTCACGAAGACCTTTCACAATCAGAAAATAATAAAATCCCTGAAACAAACGACGCAATTGACAGACAACTTAAACAATTTTTTATCAGAAAAACACCTGGAGATACGTATAGAGTGGACGATAGGTCAAAAGGTAAAATAATAATCAAAGACGTATGGATACCAATCAACGATACTACGAACCAAATAATACAATTCCTAAAAGAACACACTATTCCAGACAGAATTTTTTACTGTTACTTTTATCACGAAGAATACTACCAGATGTTTTGCGATGTTTATAAATCTATTTTCGATCAACGTGGACCTAAACTTATTAGATGCACTAGTAGAGTCACACTCATCACCAACGTTAACGAGCAAACAGACCTAATAAAAAAACACCATGAAGGAAAAACCATACACAGAGGTATACAAGAAACATATAAGCAATTACACAGGAATTACCACTGGCCAAACATGCTAACTAGCATCCAAAAATTCATTAATAAATGCGACAAATGCCTTAAAAGTAAATACGAACGCAATCCCCTAAAACTACCACTTTCACTAACAGAAACACCTAATAAACCCATGGAACACATGTTTATGGACCTATACAGCAGCGGTGGCACCACCTTCCTAACACTCATTGATAACTTTACAAAATACGCTCAAGCCATACCCGTACCAACAGCAAATAGTATACATATAGCTGAAGCTTTAATCAGCATATTTGCAGTAATAGGCACGCCAGTCAAAATTACAACAGATTCAGACCCGAAGTTTGACAATGACGTCATAACTGAAATATGCGCTCTGCATAATATACATATTCATTTTACCACTCCCTACAACCCAAACTCAAACTCACCGATAGAAAGATTACACTCCACTTTAGCTGAGTTAATAAGAATACAACATATTACAGATAGAGATGAACCAATTAATCTAATGAAATATGCTATTATAGCATATAACAACACCATTCATTCGGCTACCGGTTTCACACCTTTCGAGTTACTATACGGGCACACCAGTAGTAGAAATCCTTTAGAACTACACTGTTCTAAAGAATTCTATCAACAATACGTCATAAAACACAAACAAATCATGGAAAACGTCCAAAAACTAGTTACCTCAAAACTAAACACAGACAAACAAAACGTAATTGAAAAGCTGAACAAAGACAAACAAACGGCACCTTTCAAAGTAGGCGATACAGTCTACAAACAAGTAGCCAAGACGGCTAGAAGTAATAAATTAGAACCCAAATACCTAGGCCCATACAAAATAGTACACATTCACCCAGAACAAATAGCAGAGATCGTAGGAAAACATGTTAATGCAAAAACCATTAGGGTTCACTTCCGTCTTCTAAGACGACCCGAAACTGTTACAGGAACGCCATCGCCTGCATCGCAATGCTCCGAGGCATCACAGGAAATGCAATAATACAACCTGTAGACAACCATAATGGAATCCTGGTTGTCACGGAGGCGAAAGCACAATACCAAACAGACACTTATAACTTAGTCGTAGTTTATAACACGTCACGGTTACGTGATATATATTTAGATATATGTAGCAACTATTATACATTTAGACTTAAGCAAAATATAACACCAGATAATTCACTCATAATCAAACAAACGAATTATCTGATTAATACAATAGAAAGTAAAATAGTTTATTTAGGATTAGAAACAATTAATTCCAAAAATATAAATAGACATAAGCGAGCGCTAATCGGTGGATTAGGAACAATCATTAAGTCAATCACAGGCAATCTGGATGAGAATGACGCTATTCAATTTGAAAATGAAATCAGAACTCTTAAAGCAACTACAAATAACTACATTAACAATCAAAAACAATCACTAGGTATAATGAAAGATTTCATGAAAGCCTATGAAAACGACCTAAAACACATAGTTACAAATCAACTGGAAATAGCTAGAAAAATAGACAGATACTCAACGCAACAAACAGAATTTGAAACAAAAATTCTTACATTTGAAATATTCTCCGACATTGAGCGGTCGCTTCAACAGCTTTACGATAGATTTTCCACTCTGGAAAATGCGATCACATTCTCTAACCTAGGTAAAATGCATCCGAGCATAATCGACCCCAACTATTTAATTGAACAACTAAATTACATACAAAACAATATCGATCTGCGCCTTGC